CTTTTCGTCCGGCGTCCGTCCGTCCATCCGTCGTCCGTCCGTCCGTAAACTTTTGCTTTAAATGACATCTCCTCATAAACCACTAAGCCAATTTCATCCAAACTTCACAGGAATGTTCCTTTGGTGGTCACCTTTAAAAGTTGTTCAAAGAATTTAATTCCATGCAGAACTCTGGTTGCCATGGCAACCAAAAGAAAAAACTTTAAACAATCTTCTTCTAAAAAAACCAAAGAGCTAGAGCTGAGATATTTGGCATGAAACATCTTTCTAGCAAGTGTCTACCAAGTTTGTTCAAAGAAAAGCCCTGGGGTCAAAATTGGCCCCGCCCCAGGGGGTCATTGATTTTCCCTATATGCATATAGTAAAAACTTAAAAAAAATCTTCTTCTAAAAAACCAAAAGAGCTAGAGCTTAAGATATTTGGCATGAAACATGTTCTAATGGATGTCTACCAAGTTTGTTCAAATAAAAGCCGTAGGGTCAAAAAATGGCCCCGCCCCAGGGGTCATTGATTTTCCCTATATGCATATAGTAAAAACTTAAACAATTTTCTTTTAAAGAATCCAAAAGAGCTAGAGCTAAGATATTTAGCATGAAACATCTTCTTATGGGTGTCTACCAAGTTTGTTCAAATAAAAGCCCTGGGGTCAAAATTGGCCCCGCCCAGGGGGTCATTGATTTTCCCTATATGCATATAGTAAAAACTTATAAAAATCTTCTTCTTTAAAGAACCCAAAGTGCTAGAGCTAAGATATTTAGCATGAAACATGTTCTAATGGATGTCTACCAAGTTTGTTCAAATAAAAGCCCTGGGGTCAAAATTGGCCCCACCCCGGGGGTCATTGATTTTCCCTATATGCATATAGTAAAAACTTAAAAAAATCTTCTTCTAAAAAAACCCAAAGAGCTAGAGCTTAGATATTTGGCATGAAACATGTTCTAATGGATGTTACCAAGTTTGTTCAAATAAAAGCCCTGGGGTCAAAATTGGCCCCCGCCCCAGGGGGTCTTTGATTTTACCTATAGGCATATAGTAAAAACTTAAAAAAATTCTTTTAAAGAACCAAAGAGGTAGAGCTAAGATATTTACCATGAAACATCTTCTTATGGGTGTCTACCAAGTTTGATCAAATAAAAGCCCTGGGGTCAAAATTGGCCCGCCCCAGGGGGTCATTGATTTTCCCTATATGCATATAGTAAAAACTTAAAAAAATCTTCTTCTAAAAAGACCCAAGAGCTAGAGCTTAGATATTTGGCATGAAACATGTTTCTAATGGATGTCTACCAAGTTTGTTCAAATAAAAGCCATAGGGTCAAAAAACTGCCCCGCCACAGGGGTCATTGATTTTCCCTATATGCATATAGTAAAAACTTAAAAAAATTTCTTTTAAAGAATCCAAAGAGCTAGAGCTAAGATATTTAGCATGAAACATCTTCTTATGGGTATCTACCAAGTTTGTTCAAATAAAAGCCTGGGGTCAAAATTGGCCCCGCCCCAGGGGGTCATTGATTTTTCCCTATATGCATATAGTAAAAACTTATAAAATTTTCTTTTAAAGAACCCAAAGAGCTAGAGCTAAGATATTTACCATGAAAACATCTTCTTATGGGTGTCTACCAAGTTTGATCAAATAAAAGCCCTGGGGTCAAAAATTGGCCCCGCCCCGGGGGTCATTGATTTTCCTTATATGTGTATAAAAAACTTAAAAAATCTTCTTTGAAAAAAAACAAAAGAGTTAGAGTTTTAGATACTAAGCATGAAACATCTTCTAGTGATTGTCTACCAAGTTTGTTCAAATAAAAGCCCTGGGGTTAAAATTGGCCCCGCCCCGGGGGTCATTCCTTTTTCCTTATATGTGTTATACAAAAACTTTAAAAAATCTTCTTTGAAAAAACTCAAATAGCTAGAGTTTAGATATTAAGCACGAAGCATCTTCTAGTGAGTGTTTACAAAGTTTGTTCAAATAAAAGCCCTGGGGTTAAAATGGCCCGCTCCGGGGGTCATTCCTTTTCCTTATATGTGTTATACAAAAACTTTAAAAAATCTTCTTTGAAAAAACTCAAATAGCTAGAGTTTAGATATTAAGCACGAAGCATCTTCTAGTGAGTGTCTACAAAGTTTGTTCAAATAAAAGCCCTGGGGTTTAAACTGGCCCCGCTCCAGGGGCCTATATACAGGTGAGCGACTTCAGGGCCATCATGGCCCTCTTGTTTATATTCAGGTGAGCAATTTCAGGGCCATCATGGCTCTCTTGTTTAGTTTATAATATGTGCTACAAAGTCATTAATTGATGAATATTTATTTGGTTTATACTTGGACAAAACAGGACCAACCTTTCAAACTGACTATAGTTTGTTTAATTAATATTCAGCTGGAAATAATTAATCATATCGTGATAAATTATGTTTTTTATGCCACTGCAGCATCTGCTATGCAGTGGCATTTAGTGATTCACCTGTGTGTGTGTTTGTGTGTGTGTTTGTACTAGTGTTCTATAGATTATATAGTGAACTTTAAAAATCTTCTTGTGAATACCACTAGTCCCATTTCAACCAAACTTGGCAAGATTGACCCTTGAGTGAAGGGCTTCAAAAGTGATTTAAAGAATTTCATTCCATGCAGGAATCTGGTTGCCATGGCAACTAAAAGGAATTATAAGAATAAAATTAATAAATCTTCTTGTAAAGACCAAAAAGGCCTAGAGCTTAGATATTTTGCATAATGCATTGACTGGTAGACCTCTACCAAGATTGTTCAAATTATAGCCCTGGGGTCAAAATCGGCCCCGCCCCGGGGTCATTGATTTTCACTATATGTACATATAGTAAAAACTTAAAGAGGGGTTAGAGTCGATGACTTCTAATCCAGTTACCTCTCTGGAGTGGGTTCAATCCCTGGGAGATGCTTTGGTAGTTTAGTGCGGAGGAAGGTAGTCTAGTACTGGTGTAACTCTCCAGGAACGATGGTTTAAAAACTACCCGCCTATATGACTGAAATACTGTAAAAGGCGTAAAATGAAACAAACAAACAAACAAAATAAAATACCTTCTTGTCTGAAGATACAAGGCTTAGAGGTTTGATATTTGATATGTGTTATTATCAGTACTCTACCAAAGTTGTTCAGATTTTGCCTCTGGTGTCAAATTCAGCCCTGCCCCAGGGGTCATAGGTTTTCCTTATATGTATATAGTAAAAACTTTAAAAAAGTTTCTTCTAGCAATTGACAAATGCTAGAGGTTAGATATTTTGCATGAAACATTGTGTAGTGAACCTCTAGCAAGATTGTTCAAATTATAGCCATGAGGTCAAAATTGGCCCTGCCCGGGGGGTCATTGATTTTCAATATGTACATACAGTGCACTCCGCATATAACGAGATCGTCGGGACTTTGCATGATTCCTCGTTATAACCGGGTCTTGTTATAACCTGGACAGAACAAATTGAGAAATGAGACACAGTCAAACATCATTTATTTCTACTTTCCCTTTCGGGTACCTCCTTTTTGAAGAGTACATAATGTGAGGTAACTCTTTGCACTCAGTAGTTTTTGGTTTATTAAAATATACATGAAAATAAACGGCTTCCTTTGTGCTAATCACTCAATGAAATTGTTTTGTTATAACATTTCGTCACCTAAAGGACACTTTAGCCCAGAACGCTGACAAACAAGACTGACACATTTGATCACTAATTGCTCAATAATTTCCTCCCTAGTTGACCTTTGTTTTTGGTCACCATTGTTTTTCTCAAGGTGTCAAACTGATGCAGACAAAGTGCCAATGATGTGACCTCGTTAATATTCTGAAAATTACGCATGGGACGGCGAATATATGTAGGTTGTTTGTTTGTTTTGGGTTTTACGTCACATCGACACAGTATAGGTCATATCGTGACCTTCCAGCTTTACTGCTTTACTGGTGGAGGAAGACCTCAGGTGCCCTTCCGTGCATTATTTCAGGCACGAACAGGCACCTGAGTAGAACCAACGACGTTCGTAATGTAGGTTGTAACCGATATCTCGCTTAAACCGATCTCGTTATAAACAATATAAAATGAAAGGAAAATAGAATGAAAAAGGCTGCAACACAGTAGAATGTACGTTATAAGCGTTACCTCGTTAAAACTGATCTCATTATAAGTGGAGTAGACTATAGTAAAAGAATAAAAAATATTTTTGTCTGAAGGTACAAGGCATAGAGCTTTGATGTTTGCTATATAATATCATCTTTAGGTCCTCTACCAAAGTTGTTCAAATTTTTCCCCTGTTGTCAAAATTGGCCCTGCCCTAGGGCATTGATTCTTATTATGTACACATTGTAAAAACAGAAAATAAAACAAATGTTTTCAGAATTGGAGAAAGCTAAAGCTTAGATATTTGACATAAAATGTTGTTTGGTGGACCTGTATCAAGAGTGTTTTGAATTAAATCCTTGGGTAAAAATTTTGCCTTGCCCAAGGTGACTGTGACCTACTTTCTTGTCCTTTGATGTACAGCAATGACATTTTGACCATGTGCACAGTTTTAGTTGTAAAATTGAACTTTGATATCAGGTGACCTAGATTTTGATGATGTGACCTACTTTCTGGTCCTTTGATGTACAGCTATGAAATTTGAACCATGTGCACAGATTAAGATGTAAAGTGAACTTTGATATCAGCCGACCTAGATTTTGACAAAGTGTCTTACTGTGTTGTCCTTTGATGTAGTCATGAAATTTAGGCTGTGTGAAATATGACCTTCACCACCAAATTCACTAGACTCAACTGCATTGATATTATTCCTACTCTGATCTTTTTTTTGAATAACAATAGATTTAACCACTAATCTGTTAATAAGAATTAGATAGGTCAGGGATCTATGCATTATGACAATCTTCAATTGTATAGAAACAAAAAATATCTGTTCCTACATTACTATTTAGTGTTGTATTAATGCGGTGGCAATTAGCATTTTTCACAAATGCAATCTTTTTTTTAAACATGCTTTAATTTTTTCAAAGTTACAGTATAACAAGAGGATGTGCTGATAAACTTTACAAAAAGGCAAGAGAAATTACAATTACTCAGTTACATTTCTTGACGAAATTTACTTTTTGAAAATTCTGATGATTTTTGTAAAATATCCATACATTTTAATTATAGTTACAACAGAGGCCTTGGTGGTTTAGTGGTAAATGGGCACCAATGCCTCTGATCAAATATCCAATAAACACTGTTGGTTTGAATTCTGTTACTAGGGTCTTTGAATTTTTTTCCATATGAGAATGGTATCCAGACTGAGTAATTATTAGTGAAAAAGGATGGTTATACTCAGGTGTAAGCCAGAGCCTGAAATTTTGCATGCAGGGACATATGCTAAAGGTCTTCTTCCAAAAGTAAATTTGAAGCTTGAAAATTGACACATTATCAAAGTAAATTTGGCTTAAAACCCATCTAAACAAGAAGTAATAAAAACTGAATAATTTTGTCACTTTTGTTTTTGGTCCAGCATGTATTCCCTTAATTGTAGAGCAAGACAAATCATAATTAAGAGCATTCTATTATATTAAAGGGACTCCACTCTGATTTTTTGACATGAAGGGACTTGAAATATTTTTTTGCAGTTTGTGTACCATTTGAAATAGTAATGGACTTATAACTTATAAGAAAAGTTTTTAATCATTCCCTCTCTGCATTTTTTAAGAATTGGCATCTTTATTTTGAAAAAAAACAACAATTACTCAATCATGAAAATCTGGCTGGATATAGCACAAAAGGTTGATTTTCATTTAATTCATAATAATATTTCTTTATCATTTTAAAGTCTAGAGTTGATTAATATGTAACTTTTAAATTTTTATGTTTTTAAACTTTTGGATCATGGGTCTCTTGCAATTATAATCAAAATGTGAAATTAAATTGATTTCAGGTGGTTCCAGCTAGATCAAATAAAGCCCAGTGTAAAAATTTAGGTGAGTATTTAAGTTTTTATGACACATCAGCATGTCATACTGCACCAGTCTTGTCAGTTGTATTACCATTGCTTTTTGACCTCGGTAAAAATAGCAGAGACTTTTAGATGTCAAAACCCTGGTAAAGGAGTAATGGCACCTCTTTTAAAAAGCAGTGGGATAGTAAAAATATTCTGCATTGTTTTAGCTCAAAATTTATCAAAATTGCTAGGATAAAATCTTTATTTATACTACTCAGTGTCCTATCATAATGTATAGCAGAAGCATCTGTGTCTTTCAGTTTGTTTATTTCTTAGATATTCACTTAAAACTTGTTCACTACCAAAATCAACTATCTAACTACCAAGAAAATTTGGGGGTATTGTTTGCCAACAGGTTTTATCATGCTTTAGGGCATACTTTTGAAGGGCTTGTCCATCTGTTTATTTGTATGTCTTGTAATCCCTGTCAACCGAAGCTGTGGTATATGTCACCTGGCATGAACATTGCACTATTTATTTTGAAATAACACCACATCACAGTGATATTTGTTTAATTTTTGTTTGTCAAATTAATAACTTGAGAAGGAATAAGCCTACAAGGTCATTGGGCCAAAGGACTAGCTTACAAGAAGCAGTTAAGCACTTTTTATAAAATCTTAGTAATAAGCCAAAGTCTTGGAAACTTTGATGGGACCTTGCTCATGGCCAGAAAGTATCCAATATTGATTTTGAGGTAACATGGCCGGTGTCACTGTGAAAAATCCTTGTCTGATCAATAACTGGTAGTGAACAGTCTTATGTTTGTTCAACTAGGTGGAGACCTTGCTCATACCCTTTGATTTTAAGGTCACTTGGTCATGTGCCTATGCCACATTGCACTTCATGTAAAGTCCTGGTCAAATGAGTTACTTGAGATTTAATAAGTTAAGGTTTATTCAACTTAGTTAAAGGACATTGTCCATGGCCAGCAGTTGACCATTATTGACTTTGGGATCATTAGATCTGAATCATAGTGACACCTGTTGATGAAAAATTTTTTAAAGTGTGTAATCATTAACAAGAGTTTCTTCATGCACAGGTTTGTGAAAGTTAGCAATCATGTTATATTACTTGTATAGAAATACACCATAGAGTAGAGGCATAAGTGTTGTATTGATACATTTCTATCTAAAATCTTAATTTAAAGTGAACCACATGATTTATATATACATGTATATCTAAGAATAAATCATTTTCTGTTGTTGTTTTACAGATTTACATATTTGCAAACCAACACCAAAAGCCGAGGCATGTGAACTAGTCTATGATCATCCAAAAGGTTCAAAGAAAAGGAAGGAGATTGAAGATGAATCTAGTACAAGGGAAAAATACCCAGTCAAGAAAGCTAGGACTGACAGCTGCTCACAAAGCTTTACAGAACAGCGCTATTATAGTATTATGAGAAAATTGCGGGAGGAACAGCCTTTCTCCTTCAGTCATTTCTTTGGTATTCCATTTAAAGTATACCATACTCCTGAACTATTTGATCCCTCTGACATGACAAGATTTGTACATGTAGTCATCCTTAGTTATGCTATGCAAATCATTTTTGACTCTCATTCAGAAAATCAAAGTAATTTCAATGAAGATCAAGAGGATGTTACAGACAGATCTAAGACAACTTATTACGATTTAGACCTACTGAATGTGAATGAAAACAATCAACAATTGAATCATGATTTAGAAATGTTGAATGATGGCAACCATGATTTAGACCAGTTGAATGATGGCAACCTTTATGTAGACCAGTTGAATGATGGCAATGTTGATGTAGACCACTTGAATGATGGCAGCCATGATTTAGACCATTTGAATGATGGCAACCTTGATGTAGACCACTTGAATGATGGCAACCTTGATTTAGACCACTTGAATGATGGTAACCTTGATGTAGACCACTTGAATGATGGCAACCTTGATTTAGACCAGATGAATGATGGCAACCTTGATGTAGACCACTTGAATGATGGCAACCATGATTTAGACCAGTTGAATGATGGCAATCTTTATGTAGACCAGTTGAATGATGGCAACCTTGATTTAGACCACTTGAATGATGGCAGCCATGATTTAGACCACTTGAATGATGGCAACCTTGATGTTGACCAGTTGAATGATGGCAACCTTGATGTAGACCACTTAAATGATGGCAACCATGATATAGACCACTTGAATTATGGCAACCTTGATGTAGACCAGTTGAATGATGGCAACCATGATTTAGACAACTTGAATGATGGCAACCATGATTTAGACCACTTGAATGATGGCAGCCTTGATGTAGACCAGTTGAATGAGGGCAGTCATGATTTAGACCACTTGAATGATGGCAGCCTTGATGTAGACCAGTTGAATGAGGGCAGTCATGATTTAGATCAATTCAATAAAGGTAAACATGATGTAGAGCAGTTGAATGATGACAACAATGATTTAGACCAGTTACATGATAATCAATGTATAGTACATTCAAATGTTGACAATCTTCATACAAATCAGTCTAATATAGATAAACAATATCCTCAGCAGTCTGCAAGAAAATCTAAAACAGGGAAAAGGAAGTTCAATGCACTCGGATGTAAAGTATCAGACATATCATCTGTTGAAAGTACATCAGAAAGTGAAACTGTTGATTCACCACAAGAAGAAACAAAGTCTAAGAAAAGTAGAAAAAATACACATTTTGAAAACAATCGTCCAAACCAAGATGTTAAATATGACATGAAAGGAAAATGTCCTGTAAGAGGCAATGGGAGAATTAAAAGGTTAAGCAGAAAGGAAAGTGTACCACAAAATACTCATGAATCTACCACAAAAAGTCATGAAATGCATGCACAGGCAGGTGCCGTAGGACCACCACCTCTGAACAAACCAAACTTTGCCATTATAACAGATTCAGGGGCTAACAATGAAGGAGTGAAAAGTGATCATAATCATAATATGATTATACTAAATTTAAAGAAAAAGGTCAGTAGTAAAGCAAAACCTGCAGTTGCAAATGTGCAGTTGGATAAACAGCTTTCTGTAACACCAAGACATCATGAAACACATGCAAAAGATAGGAGACAACCCCCTCAGAAAATCCCAAACTTTACTTTAATTGATCCAGAACTTTTTAAGGATAGCGCTGAAGAACAGAAAACTGCTCATGAGAGAATTGTACTGAAATTGGTAAAAAATGGAGGAAAATGGGAACTAAAGAAAGACCCGCCTGACTCTAATGATTATGTGGAAGAAGGTGATGAAGAAGACAATGAAAAAACATTGCTGTATGGGTTTGATGGTCCTTACGGAAAGATTGTCAAGGATTAGAACAAAAGGTAGATTTTTTAGGGAATTGGGGTTTTGCCATTTCAGTTTGTAACTGAATTAAAGTCATATGTGAACAACAAGTATAACCAAACTTTGTTTAAAGTTTTTCAAAAGTTTCATTATCCTAAAACAAAGATGCAAAATACATGAGAGAAAAATAGGCTCTCTGTGGGATTTGAACTCACTACAAATACTAAACGCAAGACTCTGATCCACCTAGACAGATTGTAAACTTAAAGTTAATTAATATTGGCATGCTTTTTTTTTTATCTAAAACACTGTACTTATTCAGAAAATCATCTTGGGCATCCGTGGCTGAGTGGCATCAAACCACTTGGCTAAGGTTGCTGTCTTCAAACTTTTCCCCTTGACCGCTGTATTCGAATCCTGTGAGGGACTTTGGATTTTATCATATGAAAAAAAAGCTATCCAGCTAGCTTAAGGAAAGTTGTGGTTCTACTCAGTTGCCCATTTCTGCCCGACCTAAAGCATAAAAGCATAGAGGAGCATATGTGGTCTTCCTCCATACTAAAAGGTGGAAAGTTGCTTTAATATCTCTAGAAAAGAAAAACATTTACTATTAAAAACCAACTTGGTCCTTTTTTCTTACTTTATGTTTATCGATTAAGTGCTGTGACATTGGAGGAGACCCAATCTTTCAAAATCAAAAACCAAGAAAAAAAAACTTTGTTAATCACAAAGCCATAGAATCAATTACTATAACTGATATCAAAGATTAAATTGAGAATTGTTGCATACATAACAAATTTCTAACTTATTTTTCAGCAAGCCGAGCATAATTTCTTCGAATGATCAAAATTAATGTTGATGACAATTGGATGCTTTTCGAAATAGAGTGGACTCCTCTCAGATGCAGATGAGATGTTCATATACTATATACTTCTTCTTACTATGTAAATTATTTTCAGACGTACTGATTTAATTTACTCCTAACCTGCTGGAACTTAAAGCATTACACAACTGTGCAGTATGATAAAAGCTAGACTTTTTCATTTTGGTGTATTGAAAACGTTTCAACTTTAAATGGACTGTTTTAAAATTGAAACTAGAGCATTAAAGTCCATTATGCAAGTTCAGCAGATTAAGGGCTGAATATAATGTATTGAGAACTGCTAGCGTTAAAGATCTTTATGGAAATTTAGACCATTTCAACTTCTGCTCCTGATTTTTGTGTATGAAGTATTGTACATGATTAAGTTGACAGGAATATTATGTTTGAGAGCTGAAGCTATAGGATATATTATGCTAGCATTACAGATAATTGTGTAACTTTATAATACTGCATGTTTGTAATGAATTGTTTTTCATTGAATAATGGTGATGTTTATATAGTTTTATATACACAGCTGCTGTCAGTTTATTAAGGAATCAGCTTTACTTTGAAAAATGAAGTTTTCTGTATTATAAATTTGTCATAAAGATTTCTAAAAGGTTATATAGCTGTATATAAACGGTTATTTGCAATATAACCCTTATGTAGCGGCTCAGCTTATATAATTATAAAAACAACTGTTTATATAGGACCATATAACCTGTCAAAATTCTGTAGGACTAATAATATATACACGATCTACACAAGTTGTATTTGTTTTGAGTCTTCTTTACATGTGGAAGAAAATATTTTAAAGTGATGTTATGCCCAATTTTTTGCTGACGAGTTGAATCAGTAATATTTTTCAAAAGATTGTTAATTATAATTAAGTGCTTGACCGATATTTGATAATGAAAGATATTAAGGAAAAAATACAAAAACTACCTAAAATATAATTATAAAAAAACTGCGCCGCTTTTTAAAAAAAATTTATCAATACATATTCTGAGCAATATTTATAAAAAATTTCTGTGGGTTAAGTGGATTATTGATTAATTTTGCATAGTAATATATTAAATTGAACACAATTATGGAAAAAGGTAAAGTTAATTTTATTCTAGACTTTTACCAATGCTCTTGCCATTTGCACTTTGATGAGCATAACACCACTTTAAAATGTGCCTTGGCATGCTCTTTGAGAATTTTTTGGACAAGTTTGATCAAATTGTTGAAATATTTATCCTTTTTATATTATATGATGAAGTGAAACCCAGATGCCAAGCAACAGCAATAACTATTGTTTAATTAAAGTGAAATTTTCAATTTGTCAAGAATTGTACAAGAATTTTAATACATTTTTATTTTATTTTTTGTAGATAGTAAAATCTTTAATAAGTGTTGTATAATAAAGAATCATGGTTAACTGAATGTATTCCAGAAAGCTAATTCTGTGATTTGAGATAGAGATTGAAATTTTAGACTTACAGTTTTTGTTTATTATAAGATTTGGTAACATTAATTGATTTTTAAAAAAAGTTTTATTCAACGCAACTTCCAGTCTTGAACGAACTGTTTATAAATGTTAGAATTACGCATAACAATGTTTTAATTGCATGTAAAATTTTGTACATATACATGTATATGTTGATAGTTATTGATTTTTTAATGTTCGTACCTTTGTTTTTGTACAACTATACTAGAGAAATATAACTAGTCTATGCAAATTAAATAATTAAGATTTACTGTGGTCATCTTTAATAAAATGAAGTACTTTTATTGCAGAAATTTATTGAAATTTAAAATATTCTTACTGAAAATGTCAAAGTTGAGTAAGTAAATGCAAAACTATTTTTTTTGGGACGCACCCTACACAATATCTCAGGTCAAGTTAATTTGTTGTTTTTAAACAAAAAAAAGCACTGCCAATTTTTTTAGTGACATTTACAATATCTTCATACTGTGTTTTAGACATAATTATCTACTCTGTTGAATTTGAATGGTGCAATAGAATATTATGAGATGCCAGTGTATATAGTTTCTCCCGCTTGCCCTTTAAGTATGAACCTTGTATGTTATGGAGATTCAGTCGCCAGTATAAAACATATCAGATTCAATGTGTCTATGCATTCATACTTCTTTCTAAATTGTTCTCAAGAAGCTATGAAACTATGTGTACAAATTGTAAATTACCCACTAATGCTATTTACCTTGTTTTCTTCTGTGAGAAAATGGAGAGTATCAGATCTACATTATGGTCCATCCTGTAACATATGTTAGGCATATGTTCCCTTTCACCAGAATCACAACTTTTAGAAATGTTTAAGAGGTTTTGATTCTTTTGACATGAACTATAGCCTGAGAGTATCACGTTTTAAGGTGTTCCTGGCCAGCGTCTATAACATGGCTACCTGAACAATGTATAAACTGTGATATTAGCAGATTGTGAATAACTTCATTACATTAAGTTATATTGAGTTATGAATGTGTACATAAAGATTTAATACTGAATGTTACATATTTTCTATTATTTATTGTTGTTTTATGAATTTTCCTATTATAAATGTACATTTTTGTGATATCATTACTCTCTGTTCACAAGACAACTAACACTCCTTAATGTTTCGTTTTCGTTTAAGGTTATCGAACAGGTGTTGCTTAATTTAAATCATAGACAATGTAGATTATAGATAGTTGTTTTCACAAGTGCCTTTATATTTATATAAAAACAACAACTGACATGGCTTAAACACATCTTAATCGCCTTAATAATTTTGTTTCGGTTAAGGTTAATTTCTTAATGTGTTTTTGGCATTCATATATATATTATAAAAGTTATTATTCCTTTCTTATTCATTGTCTTTCCCTTTCCTCAAAATTCAAATTATTGTAACTTTAAAATACTTAAATAATTTGGCTTCACCTAAGTGATTTTGTTACACTAAACAAGCTCTTGATATATACATTAATCTAGAGTTGACACTATGAACCTGATATCTATGCATAAAAGTAGCTTCAAATGTTCATTAATTTATTTTCTTTTTCTCTCTAAATTGACAATTGTCGATAGATATCACAGATTAATTGCATTAGTTATCTTTCAGTATGAGTAAATATATGAATGTTTGTACATACATGTATTTTAATTATGCCTTTTTCTTTACTGATTTATATTATACACCTTGTAGATCTTGTATTTATATTTACTGTATATATAATCATTTGTACAAATTTTAATATGCATATTATATTCAATATTATATAAAAGCTCTTCGATCAGTTATGGAGGAAGTAAAGATAATAATAATGCATGTTATGATGTACTCAAAAGATATTTATTCTACATTTCAAAAGAGACTGTTTTGAAATTATCAGACTGAGTATTTTCAAAATTTCAATTACTATAGTAGCAAAATATATCTTAGCATTTGTTAGTAATTATATATTTGTAATATACTCCACAAGTGTGACATAGATTTTTGATGATCAGCTTTAATGCCACTTAATACGCTGTATGCTATTCAGCACATTGTTAATACCGCACAATGAATAATGAATAGTGCTGTCCGTATAGAATGTCTTAATGAGGCTTTTCATAAAGAGGTTTTGAGATATATACACTATTTATATATGTGAACTAATTCTGAGGCTTTGTTAAAAAATTATATCTAAGATTTTGTTTGTTTTGCATGTAACTATGCATGTTAACTTATTCTGAAGTCTATTAGTTTTATATTTAATATATCTTAGGTATTGTCTCTCAATGTATGTAGGGGAGTCCGTGGCCGAGTGGTTAAACTCGTTGACTTCAAACCACTTGCCCCTCACCGCTGTGGGTTCGAATCCCGACAGGGACTTTGGATTCTTTCATGTGAGGAAGCTATCCAGCTAGCTTACGAAACGGAAGGTCGGTGGTTCTACTCAGGTGCCCGTTCGTGCCTGAAATAATGCACGGAAGGGCACCTGAGGTCTTCCTCCACCAGTAAAGCTGGATGTCGCGATATGACTAGTCCTATACTGTGTCGATGTGACATAAAACCCAAAACAAACAAACTCAATGTATGTAAATTAATTATGTTGTCATGGAATTATATAGTAAATATATCTTAATTTTATTTCTCAATGAACATAACCTCATTCATGTAGCTTTATAAATACTTTATTTTACATTTCGTTTCGCTAAGGAAATGGTATCTACTTAACATACATTTGTCTATCACTTATTCAATCAATTATAAAACTACATGGATTAAAGTAAAAGTTACATCTTTACTTTCGTTTCGCTAAGATTATTATTTATTTGATATCCATGTCAGTAAATTTTCTGCATTGACACTTCTCTGTAGCTCATTAATTTTTGTCAATTGAATGTTTTAAATAATTATAATGACTAATGTAATTGCTGATATATAAATGATCTTAGTAGACAAAATCTTATTTAGCATATTAATAATTCTACTGCTTACATGATAATTAATGTTATTCATTTTGCATAGAAGATGTAATGTTTGTGTACGTGCGTATATTGTTTACATATTCTAATGTTGTTGTTTGCTTAAGATGTCATTTTATGTTGTGCCTATTGTAAATATGTTATGCTCTCCTGTGTGGAGGAAATAAAAGTATCTGTCTAAGTGTCTATCTTGTATAAAAAAAATATATGTTAAATTTTTCCTTAACCAGACCAGATACATGCACAGAATCATTTCTCAACAACAAAGAGGAGCATTTTATTTTGTTCCACAACATTTGATTCTCTTTATGATGAACAATAATATTATGTGTGTCAAATAATGTAATGTACAATATCATGTGTGTCAATTAATGAACAATATTATGTGTGTCAAATAGCATAGACATTTTATGTCACAACTCTTTGGAGAACCTATTTACCATAACATTATGAAAACAATTGTACTGTTAATAGAAATATTACATTAGATATCTAGGTTATTTATGACATATTGTTGAGTTCAATACTGATTTCTAATGAAAAAGTACACATTCACTGCCAAATCTTTATAATGTTTATTGGGCACGGCATTAGCCAAATCAGATACTGGTTTTGCAGCAATCTGACTAAAGTTCAGATCTACTTATTTTTTTTTTACGTATATCTGATGATGACCGTATATGTTTCGCCTTATTTATAGTTGGGATTTCCCCGAAAAAGCTATTTTTAGCCATGCAATCAGACCGGTTTTTACATAGGCATTAGAAGAAATATTAAAATACTGTTATCCGTGGAAGTTAAACAAATTGTTGACTAGTTAGAAAAAAAATGTTTGAAGTAATTTTTAACAAATTAACTTGAAATAAGAGTCAATTTTTGTGTCGTCTTGAAAAGCCAACATATAGGGGTTTCTTTTGTCGGCAGTGTCGTTGTCGGCATCACCTAAAGCTTGTCCTGAGCATAACTCATTCAATATAAGTCGGATTGACTTCAAACTATGCATGCTTCTTTCAATAACCCGAAGTGCAGTGCACAAGGGCCGGTCCTCTGCACTTCTTAATTTTTGAGTTATTGCCCTTTGTTAATTTTCATACTTTAATTTTGTCCGGGCCATTTCTCTTCAACTATAAAAGCTTATAATGGACTTGAAACTTCATAGGATGATAGATCTCATTTAGAAGTGCAGTGCACAAGAACCAGTACTCTGCACTTCTTAATTTTTGAGTTATTGCCCTTTGTTGATTTTCATACTTTATTTTTGTCCGAGCCATTTCTCCTAATGTATAAAAGCTATGGACTTACAACTTCATAGGATGATATATCTTATTAAGAAGAAGTGTAGTGCACAGAAACTGCTGCTCTGCACTTCTTATTTTTTTGTGATATTGCCCTTTGTTAATTTTCATATTTCATTTTTGTCCTGGCCATTTCTCCAAAACTTTATTGTTCACAAGGCGACACATCCGACTCACGGAGTTCTAGTTTATGTGAAAGATTGTTTTGCCAGTTTACCTGTTGGGTTTATGGACAATGCCATGGCTGTTGTTCTTGAAATCATGAAAATTACCTACTCAGTATTGGTTTTCCCAGGGTTGAATTTAGAAACCACAATGCTTTCAAAGTTATGAAAGGTCACCGATGATTCTGGCTGTGTGAAAGGTCACCAGAAATAATTTTGTATTTGGTCACGGTTAGATCTAAAAGCGGAGCGTTATTTAGAGCTAATTTCATCAGATTGGGTTTTACAGCTGTGTCTGAAAGTAGAGTCAGTATTGTTCTCAACAATGTATAATGATCTCTTTATTTCACATTTTATGACGTTTTGACAGAACATTTTTACTTCAAATAAATGAAATTTAATTAGATATTTTGGGAAAAAAAGAGGCTGTATTGGGTGAGATATGCATTTGACATGGATGTTTTGAATACAAGGCTAAACTTATGAGTTTTGATCCGATAGTGATTTCTTTTAACATCACATGGTTCAAACGCTGAAAGTTATTTCAGGTTAATTTTAGGAGGCATAAAATTAAGCTTTATACCCAACACTTTTGATTTGTCATTGCTGTGTTACAATAAAAAGGTGTTTGCTACTTATAATAAGTAAACTGTTTTCTGTCACTATATACATGTTTATCATTTATTCTTATTTTGAAAAATGTTTGAATAGTTATAATGTTTCTTATCGAAGCTTATGTTTGAAGTATAAGCTCTTTATCTTATGTTTGAAATATAAGCTTTTTTGAAACAATCTGTTTGTATTGTATTGTTTCTATGTATTCAAGACTGAATTAATATGACCTTTTAAAGCTGCACGCCTCCAGATGAGCCAAAATATTTCAAGAAAATGAAAATTGAGAAAAATGCACTAATATTTCAAGAAAGGTAAAAACAATCAAGATCAATGTTAAAGTTTACATGTTATTTGCGCTTTAAGACTGATTTTGCAGTATTTTATCACCATATTTCTACTGCGTTGACTAACGTAGTAAGGGTTTTTTTTCCACATTTTGACCTCTTTGTTCACCTCACAATATTTTACTGTCAAATACATTATCAAAATTTTCATGAAATTTAACATGAATCTTGAGGCGTGCTGCTTTAAACATGGATTAACTTCTTGTTTTGGCAGGGAATGGTTTAATCTGATTTTTGTTGTGAAGGTTGAGAGTGATGTTCTGCTGTGAATGCTTTAAACAATAATTGGAAAATTAATGCTTTTTGTGTAAATAAATTTTAAAATCAGTTTTTCTATGCTTTTTGTGTTGTCTGCTACAGAGTAGCAATGACATATAGGGGTCACCTCTCTGTCATCTGTCTTTCCGTTTGACACAAAACTTGCCTCGATTTAAAATACTGGTGCAATTTCATTATCAGTACCAAGTCTAGTTTTGCATATCGTTGCAATGATTTTTGTCAGAGTTATGGCCCTTGAATGTTTTTTATTTTATTAGTTTGACTGGACTACTCTACATATTACTAATGTAATTTCAATGAAACTACAGTGTTGTTTTGTAGCTTAAGCCCTTGCACATATAACACGTGTTTTCCGTTTGAGTGATTTTTGACCGAGTTATGGCCCTTGAATAAAAATATGTTATTTTTGTTTGGTGCAATTTTATCCAAACTTTCAAGGAGTGATCAGTACCAAGTCTGTATGTACCCTTTAATTAATGTTCTTGGTTTTTAAGTTTTGTCCAGACTACTTCTCTTATACTTATGATGCTTAAACTTTACAAGATTGATCAGTTCCTGAAGTACTTGTGCATATTAAATGGGTTTTCCAGTGATACGCTTTTAGCAAAGTTATGGCCCATGAATAAAAACATGTTTTGGGCTGTTAATTATTTTTGTGCCACATGCTTTGGCCATCATCAGGAGACACATGTGATCACTCTTGTGTTGCCTGATATACAGTAGCTGCAACATGCTGAACAGTAGCTATGATATATAAAGGAACAAACAGACCGATTGCCCCTCAATACAAATGCTTAATTGGTTTATCAACACACATCACATGGATCACTTATCATGCTAATATTGGGGAGCAGACAAAAGCCCACTTGATAATATTCCACCAGACGATAGCTCACTTGATAATAATACAATAGACTGAAATTTTGCATTGGTCCAAACTTTCATCTGATGGAACACAAAGGTCTACTGAATATTTAAAGTCTTGTCACAAAGTCACAGTGTATTCTTTTTAATTAGCTTAAATGGTGGATAAGGCATTATAATTCAAGAAGACAATAGATGGAGCCAAATACTATTATCAATATTTTGTTTGGCATTTACTTTGCATTAAATGTTTCAGCAAGATACATAATTTTAGGTTTTGCTAAAAAAAATACATGTACTATGCTCAAATTTGATGTTTGAAAATATTGATGACTAAATAACAACACAGCCTCTTTGTAAATATAAAATAAATATTCAGTAAGTATTTCATGGATTTCTATAAATTTCTCCGATAAGAATATTTGAGCCGCGTCACGACAAAACCAACATAGTGGGTTTGCGACCAGCATGGATCCAGACCAGCCTGCGCATCCATGCAGTCTGATCAGGATCCATGCTGTACGCTTACCAACTCTATTACAAGTAGAGAAACTGATAGCGAATACAGCATGGATCCTGATCAGCCTGAGCATGATGTTGGTTTTGTCGTGACGCGGCTCATTAAATCTAAGATGAGCATGGTTAATATTTATTTTACTCAATCTGGAGGCTTGTTAGTTAAACACATAGTTAAAGAGATTTCAATATTTTTAGTACCAAGACTGAACTACCAACAAAACAAAGTCTGGTCAGACTGTACCAAACTGCAAGCTGGCCTTGCCTTATATAGAGGCAGATCACAACAATCAATCTCTTATTTGGAGCTAACTAACCGTTGTCAGAGCAGTATGTATAAGCCATCTTTATCAATGATGAATTGTTATGAATATTTTACGGAAACAAAGTTATGGACGTATATACATCCCCATCATACATTTCATTTTTTTCTTCTGTTCAGTTTACTGATCCCATCAAAATTTACGTTTTCTGTGGATACTTGCTGAAAGCAGGGATATTAAAATAACTTACAAATCCTCCCAAAATCTTCTTACATATATAAACATCATAATAATGATAAGAGTTATTGTTCCATCCATTTATTGTTCCATCAATCATGTCAATAAGACTCCTCTTAAATTATATTTTAAAGAAAAACTTTTGCTTTGTATTTTGTTACAGTTTTCAAAACCAATACATGTACTCATTTGGCATAAAGAGGAGCTTTTTTTGCTCTGTTAGCAATTGGTATATGTTGAATTAATAAGCATTTTGTAAAGAAGTCAAATTACTACTTTAACTTATTTTACATTTATAACATACTACTGCACTATTTTTGCTGGTTGTTAAAATTGTAGGACGCTCTAAATCCATTATTATTACATTATTTAACTTTCTAAAGAATTAAATACATATTTTTGAGACAAAATGTACCTTTAATCTAATGTGTAAATATAGGAAGAATGTAAAAGATATATAAACAACTGAGATTTATTTATAAGAATATTTATTAAAATTGAACGAAGGAAGTTTACACAAAAGCAGAAATGCACTCTTTATAAATTTATAAAACAAAGATAAAAATATATAATACAAATTTAATAAACCAAATATAAATCAATTTTATCAAACTAGGTAAGTTAACAATACATAAAATACATTGAATAATAACCTTGTCATATTAAAAATGTTTCACACAATAGATTTAACAGTTTTAAGCACTGAAAAAATTAGCCCAATCTTTACTACTGATTGCCAGGTCAATAGTATCACAAACAAAACCATATGAGTCGCGTCACGACAAAACCAACATAGTGCGTTTGCGACCAGCATGGATCCAGACCAGCCTGCGCATCCGTGCAGTCTGATCAGGATCCATGCTGTTCGCTATCAGTTTCTCTAATTGTAATAGGGTTTGTAAGCGAACGGCATGGATCCTGATCAGACTGCGCGGATGCGCAGGCTGGTCTGGATCCATGCTGGTCGCAAACGCACTATGTTGGTTTTGTCGTGACGTGGCTCATATGTTATTTTGTGTAAAGAAGGTCAACCAGTGACTATGTAAAATCCTAGTGTAGCAATTGGATAGTCAGTAGCCAATTTACAAAAAACTTTTTTTTTCTTTGATTTTACGGCACAGCAACAAAGTTTAGGACATATGGCACCGGAACAGGAAAGATGATTTTGGCTAACCTCGGGTGTTACAAACTTTAAGCTGAAGCAACACCAGAGGTCAAACCCACTTTACCTGCTAGATGTTAGAGATGCTTAGACTCCAGTAATTGAAACCCATTTAGTCACCTCTTGCCATCATGCAGGTAGCTGCAATTATGATGCCTCAATGACTCAACAGAAAGGCATAAAACTGTAAACACTTAAGTTTATTTTGTAAGCAGCTGTAACTATATTTCCAGTATTTACAAACGATCTTACAATTACACATAGGGAGGAAAAAATGACAGTAAATATAATGTAACAATTGAAGAGCAACAGCTTACAAACAATGAGAACAGAGAAAAAATCACAGTAACTAATATATTATGCATGTTTAAGTGCAGCAAAGCTGTCCACCAATATAAAAGTTTGACTTGAACAGGCATTCTTCTCATCTATGAGAGTACATGTATAATCAGCACTATTGAATTAATTTCAGAAAATATATCTTCAGGATTATAAACACTACCAGGAAAATTATATTAACAACTATTGCTGTTTCATAGAATTATAACTTTTTTTACAGAAAAGATGTATTTGTAAGTAAAAAGTTTGTCTTTTCCAATATACCTATGATTTCTTTACAAAGTGTTACAATATAATTGTACATTTTCACAATCATGTTTGTATAATACAACACTTACATTGAACTGCATTATTAATAAGACACTGTCAGCAGTCTATGTTTTAAAGCTTTTTTTCTTCTCTTAAAGATCTTTACTTTTCATAACAATCATTGACACCACAATTTTTATAGGAGTCTTTAAACCTTTTCTCACCGTTTTTTCTTTTTTCTCTTTTTCTTGTGTGTTATCTTTCTATTCATCAAAAAGTACTTTGAAATCAGGCAGAGGATCAGCTTCTTTACAATCAGTTTTTATCTCAATCTTTTCATCAACAGACATGCCACTTGCCAATGCATCATCTGCACTGCTTACATTAGTTGCACTGACTTTTCTAAACTCTGGATTTTTTTTCATTTCTGTTTTCAAAGTATTGTCGTGCTCTTCTTTATAAAATACTGTGCTAAGGTTTTCTCTAGAAGTGTCTGACACTGATACATGAGCGAAACACATTGACCTAAATTCAACATCAGGCACTGATCTTGAGTCAGTATCTACAAATGTCTCATTGGCTTCCTTTTTTCCTTGTTTGACACTTATATCTAGAATGGTGACCTCTTGATCCTTTTCCCTATATTTTCCATTTTGTGCAACAAAAGCTGTATTATCCCTATTGGATGCTTTTTTCATATTTTTTGAACTCTTGAAACCTTTCCTCGCTATTTTTCTTGGTTGTTCTCTCTGTCTTCTCAAATACTCAAGAATTCCAGTCCGAGTACTTTCATTCAAATTTTCTGTATTTTCTTCTTGTGTGTTATCTTTCTTTTCATAATAAAGTACTTTGAAATCAGGCAGAGGATCAGCGTCTTTACAATCAGTTTTTATCCCACAATTTTCCTCATCAACAGATATGCCACTTGCCAATGCATCATCAGCACTGCTAACAGTAGCACTTACTTTTCTAAATTCTGGATGTCTTTTCAAATCAGTTCTCAAACTATCGTTTTTCTGCTTTTCTCCATGAAGTAAAGGGCTTGAATTTTGTCTACAAGTGTCTTCCACTGATACATAGGCAAAACGCCCTAACCAAAATTGAACATCAGGCACTGATTTTGAGTCACTCCCAAAAAAGGTCTCATTAGCTTTCTTTTTTCCTTGTTTGACACTTATATCTGGAATGGTGGCATCTTCATCCTTTTTCCTACACTTTCCATTTCTTGCAACAAAAGCTGTTTCACTCCTCTTGGATCCCTTTTTCATTGCACCATCACCCTTTTTGTCAAAACCCACACATTCATGGTCTGAAAAGAGACACAGTGGAATTGCTGTAAAATTACATGTAGGAGTTTTCTATTATGACAAAGCACTCTTTAGGAAATCAAAATGTCAACTATAATGAAGTCTTTTAACATGTCTAAAGCATCTAATGTTTTTATTTGTTTAAAAAACTAGAAATAGTTATCTAATTTAAGTTTAAGTATTTTTGATTTTTGCAAAAAAAGGAAAAGAGAAGTTAGCCATTCCTCAACCCTGCTAGCACCAACTGAATCTATCCATGCAGCTAATGCAGACAAAGATCAACCAGCACATATATACTATCTGATTATGATTTACACTGTTTGCTAAGTACCACTTGTTCAACAGACCAAAACTATTGTAAAGTACTTTCTAATGACCATTGCTGTACAGTTTCAACAAAATCTACTGTGTAGGTTTTTCTAATTTTGTCTCTATTTTTATCTCTGGCAGCCATCTGAGCAATTTTCTATAGGACCACTAAGGATCAATATTTGTGTAGAGTTTCATCAAAATCTATCAAACAACTTAGAGGAAGTGACTGAAATAAGACACCCCATCCCTTTGGGCACTGTAAGGAACTGAAAAATTGACAACATATATATGCCTTAAAGGAAACCTGTGTTCAAAGTTTAAACAAAATTTTCTGTACAGTTAACCAGACTATAATGTTTTGTCTATTGGTTTATATATATCAAATAACCCCCAGGGTGGGCCAAATTTTGACCCATAAGAGGCTGTTTATATATTTATATATATCATTTATCATTTTTTAGAATGTCAAAAAGGAAATGCTCCATGTCAAATCTCTAAGCTCTGTGTGTTCTATTTTCACATGATAATACTCAAGTTAATTTTCCAATATAAGTTTAAAAAACACACATGACCTGGGGCATTATAAGCAATTGTATTTGGACATGTTCAACAAGAAATGTTAAACAAGTTAACATTTCCTTTTAGGTGCAGTTTATTTCAACTTTGATTATCTTAAAAATGCAAAATTCAAGACAATTCTATGCAATAGTTTCCTTCTTTGCCTTTGTACATGTTGTAAAAAAATAAACTCAAATTTCTTATCAGAGGCATTCACCTTATGACTATTAATCATAAAAATGGGTGCCTTGTGCTTCCATATTTTACCTGATGGGTTTATCATATTTGCAATGTTCTGTGCCATCCCTCTAGTTGGTTGTATATTATTTCCAGATTGCTCTATTTTGTTTTTAACATGTTGGCCCTTCCTCCTGGTTCGTTTTGACTTCTTGCCATTTTTTTTTACATAACTTCCAGCTTCTTGGACTTTGTTTGGATTCTTTTGTTTTATTTCCCCATTTTTCTGTTCCTCATATTCGACTTGTGCTTTATTTTCAGCTTCTTGTGCCTTATTTGTAGCTTGCTGTTTATTGTATCTTATTTCTTGTCTCTCTACTTGTTTGTTCACCTTCACTTCAGAGTGCTGTTCAGTTTCTTGCACATTGTTCATAGTCTGTTGTTCAATGGTCCCTGTGCCTTGGCTGCACTGTTCCTTAGCATCAGCCTCCCTCGTTTGCTGTACATTGTTCCCAGTTTCCTGTACACTTTCATAAAAAATTTCGAGTATTCTAGAAGGTGTTTCACCATTGACATTCTCAATAAAGGGATTACAGCCACTCTGAAAGATGTCAATATTGAATAACAATATATTAATTAGTGCCCTTTATCAATGAAACTCAAGTCTACCCTTAATATAGAGCATATTGAATGAGCTTAAGTTCATTATTGGATTGAAAAAGTTGAAAACAAAGTTGTGAGGACCTCTGATGACCACAATATTATTCAATTCAAATATTTCAATAAGTATGTAATGAAGGTACATTAATTAATTACTCTATTTATCAGTATTTAAATAATAACTGTATTAGCAAATTAGAATAAATCTATATTGGTGAACTTGTGGTTTAGGTGTCTGCCTCTAAACGTAGAGGTCATAGGTTCCAGACTTACTCGGATGATGACCATGTTTCTTCATATGACACCAGTACTGGCTAGTTCCAGGAAGCGGACGTGAAAATGATTGGTATAAGATGCAAGAATATGTTTTGCAATCAAGTTGAAATGAATATGTTTAAACCTAAACATGGCTGACCTTGACACTTAACTCCACCCAAGGTTTTGTTTGTTTGTTTCATTTTACACCTTTTCCCAACAGTATTTCAGTCATATAGGCAGGTAGTTTCCTAACCATTATTCCTGGAGAGTTACACCAGTACTAGATTACCTTCGTCCTTGTTAAACTACCAAAGCATCTCCCGGAGATCAAACCAACGCCAGAGAGGTAAATGGACTAGAAGTCATCGACTCTAACCCCTTGACCACGGAGGCCGTCCACCCAAAGGTAAATGTATGAAGCATCATTAAAACATTATTGTCACTTATATTCAAATGTCAGACAAACAAATATATCAAACATTTTAAAGACAGATAATTCAAAATTAAGCAAAGGAAAGGTAGAGCTATGGTTTTAGTGCACTGAAAATACTTTCACTATTCTCTTTAACTGTGGGAGGATTTTACAAAATTCCACTAATATTTTTCAAATAATACTTCAGACAAAGGGTAAAGGGAGATAATTAACCCTTTACTACATGAGCATATTTTAAGAAAATGTCGTTTTAGTTTGATTTGAGTACGTAAGATCATTTTAATATTTTTGTCATTAATTTGCCTGAGTATCCCTTTAAACTTCACATAGTTAATGAGACTAGTTACAGGAAGTGCATGTCAAAGAACCGTAACTCTACCTTGCTTAATCTTTTTATCTCTATTTATAATACTTAATAATGCTTGTCTGGAGAAAAAATTAAAAATTCACTAAGTTATAAAAATGAGAATAGGTGCATTGTCTTTGGAGAGCAAGAAAATATTTTACCAAGTATGGTGAGATATTTCAAATTGTACCAATGTTACATCAAATAATGATTGTCATACCTCTTTCAGAAGTTTATACATAACAAGATCCCCATTAGTAGCTGCTAAATGTAATGGTGTATATCCATCCATACCCAAAATGTCCACCTTTGCGCCATTCTGAAAAAAGGAATAATCTTTTATCATTTATTTCCTAAGAAGTTTATGTTCCCTGCTATATTGACTTGATTTCATTTGACACCAAACCTCTTTATGGTTTTTGTGTCATATAATAACTTTCTTTTCAGATGAAAAAGCAGCTTGGTAGAATAAACCATCAACCTTCCTTAAGCCAACTGAAAAGATCATTTTTCAACTTAAGAACATTGTCAAATTTTCTTAAATGCCAAATTTTCCCCCATTTTGAACTTTCAATTTAATGTTCTTAAATGCCAGATTTTCCCTCATATTGAATTAGGGGACTTTCATCCAAGTACATGTAGCTAGTAAAGACTGTTTTAAAGAAAGAATTAAAGCAGCAAGCCTCTAGCTTAATGCTTATTTTCATGAAAATTTAAAAAAGTACTTAAAAAGTTAAATGTTGTGAAAATAACAAAGAAAGTAATTAACACATTGCAAACGACGCTAACAATCCATATGAATTACCGAAAAGAGGCTAAATTATGCAAAATTGACCCTTACTGCGTTAGTAACGCAGTAGAAATTTGGTAATAAATTCTGAAAATCAGTCATTTTAAGCACATAAAATGTACATTATTACTTGAATCTTGAATATTTCTAATGTTCTTAAAATCTTAGAACATTTTTCTCAAGTCTATTTTTCTTGAAATATTTTGGCTTATCTGGAGGCATGCAGCTTTAAATATAAAATGTTCTTTTTTCTATAAAAATTATAGAGAGTTCAAACACACTGACTTTGAATGTTAAGCATCTCTTTATAGTTTAGAACAATATTTTCAGTTTTATTCAACAAATTATCCAAGTTTGTATATTTACAATTAAATAACATGAGACAAATATGAAGATGTGATTCTCATTGACATTTTCTTCTGACATGTTTTGTAAAATAATTATTTATTTTTCTAGGCAATAAATTTTTTTGGGAAGCTGTTGTGTTAGCATTTATGGTTTCAAAGGAGATGTTTTTTGTGACTACTATATACATTAAGTGTTTTCCAAAGGATTTTGGGAACATGACACATACCAATGGACTTGGGAATTTTAGCAGAATTTTGTTTTATTTGTTATTTGTTTGTGGGGTTTTCGTCACACCGACACAGTATAGGTCATTTGGCGACATTCCAGCTTTACTGGTGGAGGAAGACCTCAGGAGCCCTTTTGTGCATAAAGTTTTGTTAAAAATTGAGAAAAAAAAGCAAAACTGGAAATGTGCAGTGATTAAATGAATGCAAACAATCAAACATTTAAGCACTAAAAAAACAAAGGACCCCTTATTTTCAAAGAATTTAGAGGGTTTGTTTTGTTGTTTTTTTTCAATATTTTTATTTCGTTACTTTCAATTGGGAATTTTTCCCTGTGGATTGGGAAAATAATATACTATTTTCAATTGGGAATATGACTGATTATCGGCTCTAAAACTTGTTTGTTTGTTTTGGGTTTTACGTCACACCGACACAGTATAGGTCATTTGGCGACGTTCCAGCTTTACTGGTGGAAGAAGACCTCAGGTGCCCTTCCGTGCATTATTTCAGGCAGGAACGGGCACCTGAGTAGAACCACAGACGTTCCTTAAGTTTGCTGGACAGCTTCCTCACATGAAAGAATCCAAAGTCCCTGTCGGGATTTGAACCCACAGCGGTAAGGGGGAAGTGGTTTGAAGTCAACGACCTTAACCACTCGGCCACGTACGCCAAGCCAATAAAATCCCTGTACATACCAGAAAAAAAACGATCATACCTACGGTGGGGCAAATGTGAATCCAAAATCAAAATTTAAATAAAATTTGTAAATGTCCACTAGACTATGTTCAAAGCCGAATATCTAAGCCCTAGTCTTTATTATTTAGACGCAGATGATTTTCAAAGATTTTACAGTAAACATAGAAGGAAATCCATGCCCTGACACCGACCCCAACAAATAGTTTGACCCTAGGACTATAACTAAACAAATCTGCTCCAAAGTATCATATATACCTAGAAAATTTTGATATTACTGACCCAGTGGTATACAAGATATTGTTTGTTCTAATAAGAGTGGACAGGAAGGATAACATCTGGCATTATTAAAATGATAATTCAACTTTTATCCCTTAACCTAATGAATTTCTATCATATGGTCTACTTTGCATCTATAATGGTCCCTTTCAAAGTTTAAATGACTTTAATATCAAAGTACAAATATTGAGCTGTCAACAGTATAGAGCCTGGTCAGACTGTGCAGATCTTCAGACTGGTCTGCCTCTACACTGGTGGCAATGACTGGTCGTTTTCACTTGATGCAGCCTTAAGAGCTATAATTTTGTTAGATAATAGTATAGCATACATCCGAATAATGACTTTAAACTTTTATGGTATAAAAAAAGGATACACTTACTTTAATGAAACACTTCACTACTTCATAGTGTTTATGTGCCACTGCATTGTGCAAGGGGGCAAACTTGCTGTAAGAAAAAGAGAATTATTGCATTAATATAATTTTCACAAAAATGGGCACTCTGCTAAAATTTAGAAGAAACAAGCCTTGGGAGGTGGAAGGATGCTCAAAATTTTTTGTCAAAAGCAAGCAAATAAAAGCTTTAATTGAATCTTCAAAAAGAAAATAATTGGAAAGAAATAGTTTTTCATATTTTTTTTGTTAGATTTTAACATACTTGTTGTTTTGTCCAAGAATAATTCATTATCATAAATAATTGACAAAGCTAATAAAAACTAGAAATGTGTCCATAGGACAAGGATGCCCCCACACGCCACTGTTCTGTCAATCTTATGACTCTAGGTAAAATATTTTTTGGACTACATGTGCCACAAGTTGAAAACTAAAAATCAACAAGCAATTATCATAGTATTGCAAGCAATCCATAAGTCCCCTACCGGTAAGAGCCCAAGCAACATTCTGAAGGGCCATTGGCCATTCACTTATGTTCCTATTTTAAGTAAATTTGTTAAAAAAGTTATTTAAAAGTTATCACAGGAAACAGTTTTTATGTACAGACAGACAGACTGAAGGACACTCTAAAGTTATTTTTTAAACATCCCTGTTATCAAAATATAACATTTTTAAAATCCTATCATGATTTGGAGTAAAAATTACCAATTTCTCAAAAAAAAGTCTAAGTTCAAAAGGGGCATAATTCTGGAAATAGTCTTGCTAGAGTATTGAACACTCACAAATGTTGAGTGATAATAAGAAACATTTATATGAAGTTTGAAGTAGATACATTAAAAAAAAGAAGTTATTAAAAAAAACAATGTTTTTTTCATGAAAATTTTAAGTTCAAGGGAGGTAATTCTGATAAATTTTGTGCTAGAGTTGTAAACCTTGTCACATATGATGTGGTTGTTGACAAGCAACTTATATTTAAAGTTTGAAGAAAATACCTTAAGAAATAAAGAACTTATAGTGAAAAAAACTTAAAAACTAGAATCAGAAATCTTGAAATTCAATCTATTTGTTGCCATAGCAACCAGAATTTTCAACATAGGAAGATAAGAAAAGGATGTGCATAATTTCCATACTGCCATCTACCCATATGTCAAGTTTCATAAACATATTTTCAGTACTTTTTGTGTTATCACTGGATCCAGGTTATGTGTAAAATTTGCCATATTTTCAGTCTATTTGTTGCCATAGCAACCAGAATTTTCAACATAGGAAGAAAAGAAAAAGATGTGCATAATCTCCATACTGCCATCTATCCATAAATCAAGTTTCATAAAAATATTTTCAGTACTTTTTGCGTTATCGCGGGATCCAGGTTATGTGTAAAATTTGCCATATTTTCAGTCTATTTGTTGCCATAGCAACCAGAATTTTCAACATAGGAAGAAAAGAAAAAGATGTGCATAATCTCCATACTGCCATCTATCCATATATCAAGTTTCATTAAAATATTTTCAGTACTTTTTGCGTTATCGCGGGATTCAGTTTTGTGGACTGACGGACGGACTGACGGACAGACGGACGGAGGGTAAACCTAAAGTCCCCTCCGGTAAACCGGTAGGGGACTAACAAAGGGCCATAAGAGGAGTTGGGTTCACAAAATTTCTCCATAGTATATAGTGAAAAAATCAACAAAGGGCCATAATTCTGTTAAATTTTGTCACAGCAAAAATTCCTTCCTTTACTACCATCTACACATTTAGGTTGTTCATCCCTGTAAGTTTAAGCAAAATCTGCTATCCGGTTTAAGCGGAGTTGCATTCACAAAATTTCTATATAGAATATAGTGAAAAAATCAACAAAGGGCCATAATTCTGTTAAATTTTGTCACAGCAAAAAGTCCTTCCTTTACTACCATCTACACATTAAGGTTGTTCATCCCTGTAAGTTTAAGCAAAATCTGCTATCCGGTTTAAGCGGAGTTGCATTCACAAAATTTCTACATAGAATATAGTGAAAAAATCAACAAAGGCCCATAATTCTGTTAATTTTTTTTCACAGCAACAATTCCTTCCTTAACTACCATCTACACATTAAGGTTGTTCATCCTTGGAAGTTTAAGCAAAATCCTTCATCCGGTTTAAGAGGAGTTGCGTTCACAAAATTTCTACATAGTATAATAGTGAAAAAATCAACAAAGGGCCATAATTCTTTTAAATTTGGTCGCAGCAAAAAAATCCTTCCTATACTACCATCTACACATTAAGGTTGTTCATCCCTGTAAGTTTAAGCTAAATCTGCCATCCTGTTTAAGAGGAGTTGCGTTCACAAGATATCAGGACGGACGGACAAGTGCAACGCTATATGCTCCTACATTGTGGGGGCATAAAAATTAAATTTAACTTCTAAAACTGTGCACATATCGGGTAGTCCAAACTTCAAAGCTGTACATTAAAGGACAAGAAAGTAAGTCACGTCATCAAAATCTATGTCAAATGGTTTCAAAGTTAAATTTTACATCAAAAACAGTGCATATGGTCCAAATTTCATAGCTACAGACAAAAATAAGACAATTTGGTTAATTTAGCCTTGGTTAATTAAAGTGCAAGGTTACATTTAAATTATTCAATATGTTTGTTTGGTGGCAAGTGCTGTTTTGTCAAAGTATAAATGATTTCTATACAGACATAACAAAATCATGACAATTAAAATAACAAGATGGCCATGGTGGCCCTAAATAGCTCACCTGACCCATCAAAATCATCTGAACAATTACCTAGACAAGCATTCTGACCAAGTTTCATGACAGGTGAGTGAACAAGAGGGCCATGATGGCCCTGCAGTCGCTCACCTGTATATAGGCCCCTGAAGCAGGGCCAGTTTAAACCCCAGGGCTTTTATTTGAACAAACTTGGTAGACACCCATTAGAAGATGTTTCATGCTAAACATCTAAGGTCTAGCTGGTCAAGTTATTTCTTTACACATTTAGTTAAAAACAGTGTCACACCTGAGGCGGCCAATTTTGACCCCAGGGCTTTTATTTGAACAATCTTTGTAGACACTTACTAGAAAATGTTTCCTGCTTAATATCTAAACTCTAGCTATTTGGGTTTTTTCAAAGAATTTTTAAGTTTTTGCTATACACATATAAGGAAAATCAATTTACCCCGGGGCGGGCCCAATTTTGATCCCAGGGCTTTTATTTGAACAAACTTTGTAGACACTCACTAGAAGATGCTTCGTGCTTAATATCTAAACTCTAGCTATTTGAGTTTCTTCAAAGAAGATTTTTTAAGTTTTTGTTATACACAAATAAGGAAAATGAATGTCCCCCGGGTCGGGGCCAATTTTGACCCCAGGGCTTTTTTTTTAACAAACTTGGTAGAGACTCACTAGAAGATGTTTCATGCTTAGTATCTAAACTCTAGCTATTTGTTTTTTTTCAAAGAAGATTTTTTAAGTTTTTGCTATATGCATATAAGAGAAATCAATGACCCCCGGGGCAGGGCCAATTTTGACCCCAGGGCTTTTATTTGAACATACTTGGTAGACACCCATCAGAAGATGTTTCATGCTAAATATCTAAGCTCTAGCTCTATAGGTTCTTTAAAAGAAGATTTTATTAAATTTTTACTATATGCATATAGGGAAAATCAATGACCCCCTGGGGCGGGGCCAATTTTGACCCCCAGGGCTTTTATTTGTACAAACTTGATAAACACTCATTAGAAGATGTTTCATGCTAAATATCTTAGCTCTAGCTCTTTGGGTTCTTTAAAAGAAGATTTTATAAGTTTTTACTATATGCATATAGGGAAAATTAATGACCCCCTGGGGCTGGGCCAATTTTGACCCTAGGGCTTTTATTTGAACAAACTTGGTAGATACCCATTAGAACATGTTTCATGCTAAATATCTTAGCTCTAGCTCTTTGGGTTCTTTAAAAGAAGATTTTATAAGTTTTTACTATATGCATATAGGGAAAATCAATGACCCCCTGGGGCGGGGCCAATTTTGACCCCAGGGCTTTTATTTGAACAAACTTGATAGACACTCACTAGAAGATGTTTCATGCCAAATATCTAAGCTCTACCTCCTTGGGTTTTTTAAAAGAAGATATTTTAAGTTTTTTCTATCGGTTGCCATGGCAACCAGAGTTCTGCATGGAATTAAATTCTTTGAACAATTTTTAAAGGTGACCACCAAAGGAACTTTCCTGTGAAGTTTGGATGAAATTGGCTCAGCCGTTTATAAGGAGATGTCATTTAAAGAAAAAGTTTACGGACGGCCGGACGCCGGACGGATGGACGCCGGACGAAAAGCGATCACAAAAGCTCACCCTGTCACTTTGTGACAGGTGAGCTAAAAATGTGACCACTAGAGTGTTAACTAGGATTATCCATATTTGAGCAGTGTGACCCAGTTTTTTACCCAGGTGACCCATATTGGAACTTAACCTAGAAATCATTCAACCAAACTTTCAGACCAATTTCCAGAATACTTGGATCAAAACAGTAGCCACTAGAGTGTTAACAATATTTTTCTATTTTTAGCTCCTGTGACCTAGTTTTTCATCCGAGATGACACTTCTTCTAACTCATCCGAGCAATTACCTTTACAAGCATCATGACAAAGTTTGATGATAATTGAGTCAAAAATGTGACCACTAGAATGTTAACAATGTTTTTTTATATTTGGGCAGTGTGACCTTGTTTTTGACCCCAGGTGACCCATATTCGAACATGACCTAGAAATCATCAAAACAACCTTTCAGACCAATTTACAGGATATTTTGATCAAAACAGTAGCCACTAGAGTGTTAACAAGATTTTTATATTTTTAGCTCCTGTGACCTAGTTTTTCATCTGAGATGACCCATGTTCGATGTTATCCCAGCAATTACCAAGACAAGCATCCTGACCAAGTTTGATGACAATTGAGTCAAAAATGTGACCACTAGGGTGTAAACAAGATTGTTCTATTTTAAGTTCCTGTGACCTAGTTTTTCATCTAAGATAACCCATGTTAAAACTCATCCGTGCAATTACCTAGACAAGCATCCTGACCAAGTTTGATTACACTTGAGTCAAAAATGTAACCGCTAGAGTGTAAACGAACAAGGTTTTTTCTATTTTTAGCTCCTATGACCTAGTTTTTCATCCGAGATGACCCATGTTTAATCTCGGAGCTATCACCTAGACAAGCATCCTGACAAAGTTTGATGATGATAGAGGCAAAAATGTGACTGCTAGAGTGTTAACAAGGTTTTTTTTTTATTTTTAGCTCCAGTGACCTAGTTTTTATCCGAGGTGACCCATGTTTGAACTCATCAGAGCTATCACCTAGACAAGCATCCTGACCAAGTTTGATCATGATTGAGGCAAAAATGTGACTGCTAGAGTGTTAACGAACAAGTGTGGACGGATGATGGACCTTCAACGATCCTAAAAGCTCACCTTTAGCAAGCTCAGGTGAGCTCAAAATTCAATAACTTGACCTTGACAGTCAAGGTCATTTAAAGCTCAAGGTAAATGTCAGCTCAACCTTTTAATCCAATTATTTATTACCAAGTAACAGTCAATAATAGCAAAAATCAGTGAAAATTCAATAATTTAACCTTAGAGGTCAAGGTCATAAATGATCATTTGATATACATAAAGGACATATCTAATAGAATTTTGAAGGGCTCTAGCAGCCGGACCAATTGAGCATCTTAGTCGCCACAGGTTTGTGAACTTAGCTAAAGTTTGAACATAAAGCCAGATGCCCATATCATGTATAACATAATTCCCTCCATGCATGTACATGTAATTATCATGCTCAAACAAAATTGGAAGCTGCCTACTAGCTAAGGAATATTGCATAATATTTTTTTATAAAAACTTTCAGGGTATATAAAAAGCAAAAACAGATTTTTTCTTATATTAATTACTTCTCATCTATTATGTTGACATCAACTGAACATTCCCTCATTAGGTATTCTACCCCTGAAAGCAACCCATATCCTGCCGCTGCATGCAGAAGTGTTGTTCTTTTCGTTCCTGCATCCTTGGTCCAAAGTCCATTTTTACGATAACATTCCTGTAAGTTTATAATCATAGAAATAATTATTTATGTGAATAATACTTATAAAGGATAAAATCTCCCAACCTGTGAACAAAATTGTGTGTGTGCGAGTGTATTTAAATTTTTATATAATTATGTAATCCATCAATTGATTATAACCATGACAGGTCATTTAAACATATTTATATTTTAGATCTATAACTACAATATTTCTTTAGAACAAATTTGTTTGGGGCCTATCTCAAAATATCATAAAATAATTATGGATTCAACATGGATTATTTTCTGTTTTTGCAACATATAACAGTCATTATTTCCACACTGATAATTAAAAAAAAAATCATAATTGTAGAATTGATTTTCTTGTTTTGGTGTTTACTTTGCATCATTACTGCAAAGGTCATACGACTTTTACTTTGCATAATTACTGCAAAGGTCATATGACTATGTCATAGCTTTACTGAAAAAGTCCTCTGATGCCCCTCCATGCAAAATTTGAATCATTTTTTTTTTCAAAATTGAAGGTACATGTATTTATCTACCAAATATGGAAAATGTCATTAAATAAAGAAGGAATTAAGAGAAATTTAAGATAAATCTATCCTGCTGGAAGTTAACCATACAAAGTTGTATTTTCAAAGTGATAACAAGGGAAATTACAAGGGAAAATGGATGGCACATAACTTGGCAATATCATGTATTTTGTATTGATGAATAATTGTACATTATGAAGCCATTTGAATAGATAGAACGTAAGATATATTCAACTTGCCGGTTTAGGTTAACCATATCCATTTTCCAAGTGCTGAAAAGGCTTATAACTTGGAAACAAGAGGGCCATGATGGCCCTGAGGTCGCTCACCTGTATATAGGCCCCCCAACCCCCCCCAACGCTGCAGGGCCAATTTAACCCAAGGGCTTTTATTTGCACAAACTTGGTAGACACCCATAAGAAGATGTTTCATGCTAAACATCTAAGCTCTAGCTCATTGGGCTTTTTAAAAGAAGATTTTTTTAAAGTTTTTACTATACACATATAGTTAAAAACAATGACACCCCTGGGGCCGGGCCAGTTTTGACCCCAGGGCTTTTATTTGAACGAACTTTGTAGACACTTACTAGAAGATGTTTCATGCTTAATATCTAAACTCTAGCTATTTGGGTTTTTTCAAAGAAGATTTTAAGTTTTTGCTATACACATATAAGGAAAATCAATGACCCCCGGGGCGGGCCAATTTTGACCCCAGGTCTTTTATTTGAACAAACTTTGTAGAAACTCACTAAAAGATGTTTCATGCTTAATATCTTAACTCTAGCTATTTGGATTTTTTCAAAGAAGATTTTTTAAGTTTTTGCTATACACATATAAGGAAAATCAATGACCCCCAGGGCGGTGCCAATTTTGACCCCAGGGCATTTATTTGAACAAACTTGGTAGACACCTATTAGAACATGTTTGATGCTAAATATCTTAGTCATAGCTCTTTGAGTTCTTTAAAAGAAGATTTTTTAAGTTTTTACTATTATGCATATAGGAAAAATCAATGACCCCCGGGGCCGGGCCAATTTTGACCCCAGGGCTTTTATTTGAACAAACTTGGTAGACACTTATTAGAACATGTTTCATGCTAAATATCTTAGCTCTAACTCTTTTGGTTCTTTAAAAGAAGATTTTTTAAGTTTTTACTATATGCATATAGGGAAAATCAATGACCCCCTGGGGCGGGGCCAATTTTGACCCCAGGGCATTTATTTGAACAAACTTGGTAGACACCTATTAGAACATGTTTGATGCTCAATATCTTAGCCATAGCTCTTTGAGTTCTTTAAAAGAAGATTTTTTAAGTTTTTACTATATGCATATAGGGAAAATCAATGACCCCCCCCCCGGGGCGGGGCCAATTTTGACCCCAGGGCTTTTATTTGAACAAACTTGGTAGACACCCATTAGAACATGTTTCATGCTAAATATCTTAGCTCTAGCTCTTTGGGTTCTTTAAAAGAAGATTTTTTAAGTTTTTACTATATGCATATAGGGAAAATCAATGACCCCCCGGGGCGGGGCCAATTTTGACCCCAGGGCTTTTATTTGAACAAACTTGGTAGACACTCACTGGAAGATGTTTCATGCCAAATATCTAAGCTCTAGCTCTTATGGTTTTTTAAAAGAAGATATTTAAAGTTTTTTCTTTCGGTTGCCATGGCAACCAGAGTTCTGCATGGAATTAAATTCTTTGAACAATTTTTAAAGGTGACCACCAAAGGAACATTCCTGTGAAGTTTGGATGAAATTGGCTTAGTGGTTTATGAGGAGATGTCATTTTAAGTAAAAGTTTATGGACGGACGGACGAAGACAGACGGACGCCGGACGGACGCCGGACGAAAAGCGATCACAAAAGCTCACCCTGTCACTTTGTGACAGGTCAGCTAAAAATGGAAGCTATAAATATTTAACATGCCCAGATTATGTAACTCGTATTGATTAGTGAGTCTGCAGATTATGAAGCCATTACAAGTACAGGTAGAACATAAGATAAATCCAACTGGCCAGTTTAGGTAATTCTCATACAGACAGACAGACAGACAGACAGACAGACATGTCTGACAGACAGATGATTCAATCACTACATGCCCGGGGGGATTAGAATAATAAAATATTCGCTAATCTTAAAGTTTTGGGACAGCAACATACAACATGACTAGCAATTCTTTAAAACAGTTGAGCTAAAAATAAAAATTGAAAAGAATATATTTAAATAGGTTAACCTAGGGGCCTTACTTCTAGGCCTCTACAGTAAAAGTATTGACAAGGTTTATGTAAAGAAATGGACAACTCATCTATATCCTAATATCTAAATTTTTTGTAATTTTTGCTCATGTTAGCTAAAAACAAGGGGGTCATTCGCACCAAAGCACTCGCCAGAGGACAGACTGTTATTTGTGTGAAAGCACCTGTATATAGTAAACAATGATCACATAGAACAAGAGTGTAAAGTTTCCACCCATTTCCTTCATTAGTTTTCTAGATACCCACTTGCACACAAAACTGAACCAGTGTGATAGCCACATCAATGCCTAGGTAAGTACAATAGCTCTAGTTCCCTATTCTTCGGAAAAGTCAAGCTAATGAAGAATTACCTTGATACTCTTTAAATTAAAGCAAGTCTCTGCCAAGGGATTATCGGACGACAAAACACTTGGTCCATCTGAAATCAAAAATAGATATTTTGTGGCATCAAATTATTTGTACAAGTTACAAGGAAAAAAGCCTTGAAGGCACCTGGAGAATGAAAATCAGGCCCTCCTCTTACTATCATTCCAGGGAAGCAATATTATAACCAATTTTTTCCCTTCTCCCTCTCTCTTACACAATGAAGTAAATGTTAAAGCATTGATTTTCGCCAACTGTAAGCTACATCAAAATACAATTGTTTTTGAAAAGAATAATCAGATTGGTAAATCTATTGAATTTTGCATTTTTCAGAGTGCTGTTGCTATATGTGTATTATGCTTATACTGATGTGACTTAATAAGAACCATGTCTATGTAGAGTACAAGTACTCTATCCAGTTACAGAGTACCCATAGTCTGTGCTAGTTTCTAGCTGCACTGTATTTAAGCTACAAGCTACTTCAAGTTTACTGAATAGTTGGCCATCCTTTCGATACTTCTGGAGCTCTAAACCGGAAGATACTTAGATTAGTTGTTCAATTATGACACTGGTTTTTCTGCAGTAGTTTGATTTTCTTGTAAAATATCTGTAGTACTTTGAAGTGTTGTATATACTAGATAATATATGGCCATTGGTGATGTGTATGCAAAAGGAAAAATGGATTTTCTCATTTTGATAAATGTCCCAAGCGGCCGGTTTCGCTTTCCAAGGGAATGTATACTGTGTTTTCAAAGTACATTAAAGTTTTCTTTTTTTTATTGTCGAAGGGGGGGGGGGGGGGGGGGGGGGGGGCGGCGGCATTAAATTATTCGGGGAGAGGCCATTTTATTAGAAAGCATGACTATGACGGTTATGATTTTGATTCTTATTTTCCAATTTTTATATCTTGAGAGATTCTCTTTAAACTTTTAATTTAATTTTTATATAAATTTGTTTATTTGAACGCAGTTCATTTATTTTTGTCCCAATTTTCTTTCATTTTTTTCATGTTTTTAGGTACAATGTAATATAGTCAGTAATTGATGCAATAATCTGTCTAAAATTGATAAAATGCAATATATATTAACCCAAAAGTAATTTCCGAGAAGACAGGATGGCCGACACTGTATTCAATGGGGAGAAAAACAACCTAAAAAATTACAAACCAATATCGGTCTTTGGCTGATCTATAGTGTATGGTCCTTGCATTGTGTTAGTTCCTGCTTTTTCATCTTCCTGTAATAGAAAATTAAAGTACCCATGCGATACCGATACTTGTGAAACGACACAGTATTTTATCGATACTGATACTCGATACTTTTTAAGTGTTTGAGCAGCATTATTCATTATGTGTTCATTACTTCTATTGGATCATTTTTATCTGTGTTATTTTTACATTAATCTTTTTACAATCTTCTTTGTGAAATTGTTATTTATGTACCATATTTCTTTTACATGTTTGTAAAAAATAAAATTGAGAAAATGAAAATGTAATTTTTTATTTTAAAATACAAAAATTAAATAAAATATGTCAATTTATAGTGCCAAGACCGGAAAACTCTTGGCCCACATTGCTGTTGACATCAGCAATGAAATGTATATTATTAATTTCGACTATTTTTATACAAAGTGAAGAAATATTTTAAAGCAAATTAAGTAAACTATAATTTTTAAGAATGATACATTATGATTAAAAGTGATCAACAAAATTAATGCCGTATCAAGTATTTGAATTTATGCAGCATGTAATTAGTGAAGGTTTTTCATAAATACGAAAACCGCCGCTACCACAAGCAAAATCTTGCTGTAATTGGACTTTTCATTATGTTTATTTTCCAGCAACAGCAAAAAACTTACTTTTGTGGTAAATCTTTTCACAGTCCATAAAAAGTTCCAAATTTACTACAAAAATTGCTGAAGTTACAAGCAAGACATGTAGATCTTAGACTGTTCTGATTTGATATATACATGTCTGTAAAAAAGACCTGTGATACCTTGCTGATAGCAAGTCTTTCAAAATGCATTTATAATCCATCATCCATGAGAAAATATTTACATGTAGTTTCCTTTAATTTAATGAGCTAAACCAATTAAGAATAAATTATGATTACCATTATTGATATTTTGTTGTCTCTAGATGATCGTACCACAGATTTTCAGCTCAAAGGGATGAAACAAATATAACAGTCTGTTGAAAGTTCCACTGATTTACATTTGTAGTTCTACTACTCTGAAAAAAAAAACATTTAAAAAATAAGCTATGTTTATCACACATAACACTCCACCCCATGCTCTTTTTATTTTCTAAAACGAAGCATACTAATCAAGTAATATCTAGTCCACTATATCAGATGTTATGGGCTTGTTATAGTATATTTCGGTTAAGCTGAACGTCAAATAGTTAATACTCATATCAAACACAAAGTTTCATATAAAATTTAGAAAAGTGTCTATTGTCTTGCCTTTCTAGCTTTATCTAAAAGTTTATCAAAATTTTCCTTCAATTTCATGCTCAATCATTAACAATGTCATTATCAATTCTAAATAAAATACAAACAACAAACTTTTTTTTCCTATCCGCCATGTATACTGATTTTTTTATGTCAGATGCAACAATGTTCTAGATTAGACCCCTATATATATTTCAGAAGAAATAATTGTATAGAATACACTAAAAAGTCACATATATATAAACTCCTTGTTTAGACCTGGGATCTATTCCACAATATAGCCGTAATGTCTGCCGTGGCCTTAATTTGACATTTCCCCACATTCATGGTGATGTTTTGTTTTTTTGTTATTCATATGATTTTTCAGATGTGAAGGTCATTCATGTTTATTGCCCACAATCTTTTTTTACAACTCAAGTATAAAAAAGGTAAACATAACAAGAGTTGTCACAGGAGACAGTGAAGCTCGACTAATAAAATTCTGGACGCAATAAGAAAGACAAAATCAATTATGTAAAATTATGTAATAAGTTATAGTATAAAAACAAGAGCTGTCACAGGAGACAGCGAAGCTCGACTAATAAACTACTGGACGCAGTAAGGAGGACAAAACTATGAAAGAAAAATCAATTATGTATAATTATGTATTAAGTTATAGTAAAAAAATAACATTTGTTAACATAAATTCCAAGATCAAGGGGAATAATTCTAGAAATAGTCATGCTAGAGTTATGGACCTTACCACACAACATTTGTGTAATGATAAGAAATATATATTTGAAGTTTGAAGTAGATACCTTAAAAAATAAAGAAGTTATTATATTTCTTAAAGAAAACCTAAGTTCAAAGAGAGATAAATCTGTAAATATTGCTTCAAGATTTATGAACATTGTCACATAAAATGTAATTGATGATAAGGAATAAGTATTTGAAGTTTGAGGTAGATATCTTTAAAAATAAAACAGTTAAAATAAAAAATAATATTTTTCTAGTAAATAAATCTAAGTTTATGGGGAGATAATTCTTGCAATATTGGTGCTAGAGTTATGAACCTTGTCACATAAGATGTGGATTATGATAACGTAAATACATTTGAAGTATGAAGTTGATCCCTTTAGAAATAAATAAGTTACAGTCAAAAATAATATTTTTTATGGAAAATTCTAAGTTCAAAGGGAGATAAATCTGAAAATATTGGTGCTAGAGTTATGAACCTTGTCACATAAGATGGGGATGATGATAACGTAAATATATTTGAAGTATGAGGTTGATCCCTTAAGAAATAAAGAAGTATCAGTAAAAAATAGTATTTTTTAAGGAAAATTCTAAGTTCAAGGGGAGATTAATCTGAAAATATTGGTGCTAGAGTTATGAACCTTGTCACATAAGATGTGGTTGATGATAACGTTAATATATTTAAAGTATGAGGTTGATCCCTTAAGAAATAAAGAAGTATCAGTAAAAAATAGTATTTTTTAAGGGAAAATTCTAAGTTCAAGGGGAGATAAATCTGAAAATATTGGTGCTAGAGTTATGAACCTTGTCACATAAGATGTGGTTGATGATAAGGAACATATATTTGAAGTTTGAAGTTGATACCTTAAGAAATGACAAAGTTATAGTGAAAAATATTTTACTGCACCAAAACTTTAATCTAAAATCTGGACGCGGACGCGGACGCGGACGCCGACGCCGGGGCGAGTAGGACAGCTCTCCATATACTTCGTATAGTCGAGCTAATAACATTGTTAATATAAATTCCAAGATCAAGGGGAATAATTCTGGAAATGGTCTTGCTAGAGTTATGAACCTTGTCACACAACATGTGTGTATGGATAAGAAATATATATTTGTAGTCTGAAGTAGATAACTTACAAAGTAAAGAAGTAATAATATTTCTTAAAGAAAATCCTAAGTTCAAAGAGAGATAAATCTGTAAATATTGCTTCAAGAGTTATGAACCTTATCACATAAAATGTAATTGATGATAGGGAATAAGTATTTGAAGTTTGAGGTAGATACCTTTAAAATTTAAAAAGTTATAGTAAAAAAAAAACATTTTTTAAGTAAAAAAATCTAACTTTATGGGGAGATAATTCTTGCAATATTGGTGCTAGAGTTATGAACCTTGACACACAACATATGGTTGATGATAAAGAACATATTTTTTAAGTATGAAGTTTATAGCTTAAGATATAAATAAGTAACAGTAAAAAATAATATTTTTTAAGGAAAATTCTAAGTTCAAGGGGAGATAAATCTGAAATTATTGGTGCCAGAGTTATGAACTTTGTCACATAAGATGTGGATTATGATAAGGTACATACATTTGAAGTATGAAGTTGATCTCATAAGAAATAAAGAAGAAACAGTAAAATATAGTATTTTTTTAAGGAAAAATCTAAGTTCAAGGGTAGATAATTCTGAAAATATTGGTGATAGAGTTATGAACCTTGTCAGATAAGATGTGGTTGATGATAAGGAACATATATTTGAAGTATGAAGTTTATCCCTTAAGAAATAAAGAAGTAACAGTAAAAAAAATGTATTTTTTTAGGAAAATTCTAAGTTCAAGGGGAGATCAATCTGAAAATATTGGTGCTAGAGTTATGAACCTTGTCACATAAGATGTGGTTGATGATAAGGAGCATATAATTATGTGAAGTTTGAAGTTGATACCTTAAGAAATTACAAAGTTATAGTGAAAATATTTTACTGCACCAGAACTTTAATCTGAAATCTGGATGCGGACGCTGGGGCGAGTAGGACAGCTCTCCATCTAAATCTAAATCTACATCATACAGATGATACTGCTTCAAAATCTTTTATGATTTCACTTAGCAGGTATACATTAGTATACATTATATTGTATACATTGAGTTGCATTAAGACACAGCTATGAGATACAAGGGAATCTGGGAACCAGACCCTAGCTGTTATTGAATGCTCTGCGTATAGCACTGATACATGCGAGGATAACTGTCAAAAATGCCTGAACGTAAAGTAAATAATTCTTTTCAGTATGTCATATTGTAAGGTAAATATATGTCCCCCACATATTTTTCAAATCCCCCTTATTTTTCAGTTAAGTGGGGGACAATCCCCCATAATTTTGAAATTCTAGATGCAACACTGCAAAGGGAGCCATTTTTTTTGAAGTTATAGATTCTTTCATGAACGTCCAACAAACGAAAGAAAAAATGCTGTTGTATACTGCATTCTATTAACTTTTGATGAATTAAGCAATTTTGAGTTGTATCCCTTGTTATATTAGATACTATTAGACTAGTATTAGTCACTGTTAGCAAAGGGGTATGGCTCATTGAATGTTCACAAAATATGTATTTGATGGTAGAAAACATTTATCCGAAGTCAGAAATGAATTTTAAGTCCATTCCCATTACACTATATAGTTTACTAATATATATATAGTATATAGTGAGCCGTACCCCTTTGACTGTAAGTGTTAGTGGGGGGGGAAAGAAAAATGCATGCGTTCACACATAATTATTGATGTTTATATAATCAATCATTTTCATTATTATCAGAGATCTGCCGTACTGGGCCCTGGGCCCACTTCGTCTGAAAATGATGGGCCATTTTGACCAAAGTATGGGCCTTGGGAAAATAAGTAGACATTGACCTAAATGACTTTTAAAAAGTTTGTAGATAATTGAATTTCCTTTGTAATGGAACTGAAATCATATTTTATGACAAGCGGTTCACTTATGATTCAGTATTAAACAGAGAAGATAACCAATAAAACCAATTTAATATTATTAAGTAGTTGTATAATTCTTTTTGTTTGTTTGTTTTATTAGATTAAATTTACGGTAGTAGAAATGAGTATCTGTGCGGGAAAGGGATTATGAGAAGAAATGCGGTAAGTAGATAAGGTGAACAAAAGCTATAGGGAAATGGATAAACTCAATAATATGCGTAATTACAGGGGAATAGGTAACGTGTTGTTGTTGGTACCAGTTTTGACTGGATGACTAAATAACCCAGCGGACAGTTTTGTTTTCATATAAGTCTGGCACAGATTTTATATGCACCCTTGGCCCCTTTTCCTGTCGATTTTCCTGCGCCATTCTCATTTTTTTAGCGCCAGTGGCGCAAAATCGCGTCCTTGGCAGATCTCTGCTATTATGTATAAAAGCCTTAACTGGGGCAATCAAATTACTGACAAATTATAGCCTAATAATGTTTTCAATAACTTTATCATATGATTGATAATCTTCATTTGGTAAAGTTTAATTTATTTGTAAATGTGAGATAATTTATCCCTTTTTTTTATAATCTTGTTGTGAGTAATAAATATATCATTCATAGACAAAGGGAAAATGAAAGAAGCAAAATATCGTCTAAAACATAATAATTCAATTTAATTAATTAAATATTCTCTGAAAATCAATTTAGGGGCCGGGTTGACCGATTTTGGGGCCGGGTTAACCAAATTTGGGGCCGGATTAACCAATTTTCAGGCCGCATTGACCAAATAAAAATAATGTGTGGCTGGGTTGACCAGTTTTGGGACAGGGTTGACTAATTTTGGGGCCGGGTTGACTGATTTTGGGACCAGATTGACTTTACTGTTTAGACTCACTGGACCCATGCTCGCACAGGCGCATGCTCGCCCAGATTTTTATTTTTATGATATAAACTTATGAATAAAAATATTATCTGAATCATGTGTTGTTGTGTCTTGATGCTGCAAGTGTCCTAGTTTCTCACCTTGTTTCCTAGTTCTGGCTTCCATTACTTTATATGTCGCTTTTATTTTGACGTAGTGCAACAGTAAAGTTATGGGTCAACCCTATTTGCAAAGGCTACCAGAATTTTTGCAGTTTGTGTGCCGTACATAAAACCTATCAAAATCTCCCTTATTACTCAAATTTGGGTCAAATAAAAATACCGTTTGATAAACAAATCAATTTTGAATCGATTCATGTTTTGTTTTTAAATGTATAACTTCAATGACATAATTGTGTACCCAACTATTTGTTAGGGAAATATGTAGAGAATGTTTACCAATATGGAGACTGCTTTCAAATGAAATCTCGCGGGACTTCAAGTTTTGGGAATTCTAGAATCTATTTTTAGTAATGGACCATACGCTATTTTTAATAAGTGTATGATTTAAAATAAAAACAAACAAATAATTCATAAATCGTCACTCAAAACAATATTTATAAATCCAACATGTTTTTGGTACAATGTCTGTTATTGAATAAATCTTAGAGAATTTTCTATTTGAAAGACCCTGAATAAATACACCGTTATTCATAATTGCAAAGCCAAGTTTTCAATTAAAAATTGCATTTGGGTCACGGGTCACCAAATGTCATGCAAAGGTATCTGAACCTTAATTCTCGCTAGTCATGTGATAATTAGGGCAGCAATGGTGGCGAATTTTATGAAATGCGAACCCACTGATTATTTCATCAATCTAACGTTCTGTATTCAAAAATATAGACTGAAGTGTCCCAAATATATCTAACTACCTCTATTAAAATAGCTTTTGTCCAGATCATGCAAATTTATTGAATTACAGCATGACATAAATATGTCATGGTTCTAGTTGACTTTCGATATGGGATTGGCTTCAGCGAACAGATCTAGCAGTACTATAAAACCTGTTCGCTGAAGTATCTTTAGCTACTTGTTTCCTTGGAGTATTGACCTTTTCGAAAACCTAGCTAAACACCGTTTTCCAGTACGTTACGGATTTAGCTCTGGGGAATTACACCAAATGAAGTACATAACACAGTTACATGATATTTCTATTTTTCTATCATTATTTTTCCGTTTAAGGTGAAAAAAATTGATGTATTTGAAAATTATCAATATTCTTTTGATATCTATTGCAATTTTTTCAAAAAAATAGTTTATAATGAAAATCAATAAAATTACAACAGACGTAGTGGGAGCTTCCATAATAAATAAGGTTACAAGATACAAGAAACTTTATTTTAAGTCGGTTATCATATTACAAGAAACATTAGCTAATAAGCTATTTACCGACAATAACAAAAGCATAAAACATATTTGCTAACATATAACAGTTCTGAAAATAAAAACATATAAAACTATTAGCAGCTTAAGCATGAAATAAAAGTATCAAGGTTAAGAAGAACTTTACAATAAGATGGTAAATTAAGGCATAGCTTGATGACATGCACAGTACATATTGTATTAAAGGTAATAACAGTTTCTAAAAGTAATAAATGACTGTAGTCTAGAAATTTAAGTATGATACATATAGCAATGTGAAATAAATAAAAATAATAATAAAAAATAAAAAATTAATAAAATAGTAATAGTTATAAGTTAACATCTACAATTTATAAATACGTAATTGAAGGTTTCCTAAAAAATATATATAATTAAATAAAATTAAAATAGATAAAATTAAACTTACTTATAAAAGTGCATAAAAATTTATGATAGAACTTATACAGCATAAAAAAGAAACAAGATAAAGCACATACAGTGTAACAAACAAAATTAACTAAAATTAAGTTGCATGCACAGCCTAATGGAATGGGGAATAAGGAGTTTTAATATGACAAAGCATACAAACACAACAAAGATTCAACAAGCATAAAATACAAGGGTTTAAGAAAAATTAACACACAACATATAATCAAAGCATCATAGCAAACTAAAAGGGATGCACAAAAGCAAGGCAAACAAACAAAACATGTAGTCTAAGCATTTACATAAATTAAAACAAAACTAAGCAGAAAAAAACAAACACATAGCAAATTTACAAGCACATAGCACATTTACAGCTTGGGCCACTCCAGACCTGGATCAGTCTCCCAAACTCTTTGTAATTTTCAACCTTGCGGATGTCATTAGGGAGACTGTTCCATATCTGGGCACCTTCAAACTTAAAAAAATTCTTACCGTATGTTACTGTTTTGACCCTTGGGACATTTACACTTTTTTGATACCTAAAAGAATAATTGGAATTTTTAAATTGAATTAAATCATTTTATATATGGTGGTGATTTTTCCGTACAGGCATTTAAACACTTCTTTGGCTATTATTTTAATTCTTGACAAATGTAAAGTAGGCATATTAACTTTTTTTAATAATGTGTCATATGAAGAATTAAAATCATTAAATACTATTTTTAGAGCTCTATGCTGGAGTTTTTTCAAGTTTTTCTGTGTTTGTTTTGGAGCAAAAATGCCAGACAAGGGACAGTAGTTAAAATTAGATCTGATAAAAGATTTGTAAATAAGAAGAAGACATTCTGAATTTAAAAAATTTCCTAATTCTTAAGAGCACATTTAATTGATTGGCAGCTTTTTTACACATTCTGGTGACCTGTATATCAAAGTTAAGTAAAAAATCTATGTCTACCCCTAGCAGTTTAACACAATCTTCACATTTTATTGTAACATTATCAATTTGAAATTCTTTTAAGTGTTCATTTGTTATTTCCCCAACAGCTATGGCTTGAAACTTGTCAGCGTTAGCTTGCATTTTATTAATGTTAAACCAGTTAATAAGTATTTTACTTTCATTTTCTAATGTGTTTTTCAATATGTCTATTTTAGAGTTGGAGAAGGCTAGAGTATTGTCATCTGCATAATTGTAGAGGATGGATTTATCTATAAAATAAAAAATATCATTCATGAAGATGTTGAAGATTAAAGGTCCAAGAATAGAGCCTTGTGGCACCCCCTTAATTGTTTCAAGCCAAGTGCTATGATACTCTCCTATTTTAACTGTTTGTTATTTTTAGCTTAAGGTCTTCAGCGTACCCGTTTATATACTATGACAGGACGTGAACGCTGAAGATAACCCCATAGGGAAAGTCCACCAATAATCATGCCAGGAATCTGACACGCTCGTATTTATTCTTCGAACATGCCATGAAGTAAAGTGAAGCATACCTTGATAAAACTATATATAATCTGTTGATAAGCCAAGGATGGACAATTAAAAATCTTATTACGAACATAAACTACCTAATAGTTTCCGACAGGTAAAATTTTCGGCACTTGGCCGCCATATTGCCAAAATGTTTGACCACGTGATTACGAGATTGACCTTTACAAACCCATGTGCTTCCAATATTTTTATAAATTACTTTTTTTAAAGATATTGAAAAAGGTGATTTACTAACTTTTATATTCAATACAATCGTATTTAAGTACTAAAAAATTAATGAAAATAAATAAAAACATTATCTTGAATAAAAGTATCGAAATCATGTCAAAAAAATATTCTAAATATAGTACACGACTCTATTCAAATCTGTTCCCGCGAATGACGTCATACAAGATCTCGCGTGGCACCTGAATGTCATGGCCAACTGTAGTGGGCGTAAATTGATATTTTACAGTTAAATAGGCAAATTTAATGACGGTATTAATATTTAGATACTTCAATTGGTATAGAATGATATTAAAATGATTGTTTTATCGTAAAATGACCAAGAATTGATTGGGTCAAGTGTATTTGCAAGTGAAAAACAAGAATAAATCAACTTATGGTATTCTGGTTAGGTTTCGTAATGGGTCTAATCCAAAACTTTAATGCTGCATCAGATGAAAAACAAAAATGTTAAAAAGCGGCTTATAAAGTTTTGGAAGCCAGAACTAGGTTACTTTCTGCGTAAACTTTAGTCCAAATATTTAGACGTAACCGCGGATTTGAAGCTATTTTTTACATGGGTCAAATCCGCATTTTCCGATAAACGTCAAAATGTAAAAAAAAGAAAATGCGATGTCTTTCAATGAAGGACTACGTAAACTTGTGTATTTACTTAATTTTTTGTATGTAATTATTCATACAATGATATTTAATTATTTTCTTATAAAGAAATAAATGTTTTATTGTTCAATTTAATTTTAAAAAAGGCCGAAAACATCGAGTTCGCTATTACACTCCATTAGGTGAAATCCCCAGAGCTATGTACAGAAAGTACCGGAAAACGGCGTTTAGCTAAGTTTTCGAATTCGTGAATCGTATTTTGAGGCCGGGCTGACATTAATTCTGTGGATTTACCAGTTTTCTATCAAACAACAAGAACAACAGCATTGTTTCTCATAAATATATTTATTGATACTGATGGGTCACGTAAATAGTAATATCACTGACCTGTTAATTATTTCCAAAGTTTATGGGGGCTACCATTTTGCACAGAACAATTCTCGTATCGGCCGGCCGGTCTCTACCGTATTTTTGGGTGATAAACCACTAAATATATAATGTTGGAAATAAGATAGTGGACTTTTTACAAGCTATATTGCAAACTCCGCGCACTTGTTACGCTACGGCATTTGGGCGGAGCTGGGGGGAAGGCTGCAGCCCTGAAGCCCGGGCCTGAATCCGCCACTGCTTGGACGTTTCATTTGACTATGCCGTTTTCAAATTTTCTTACATGCACCAATACTCTATTGACCTGATATCTGAATGTTGGATTTTTCAAGTTTTTAATTATCTTTTGCTATGTAGTTGGCTTTTGCATACACAACCAACCCGTGTCTAGCAAGGATTAACAAACGTGACAAATACAAAAGGTACATGCCACTGTAACATTATAAACAAAAGAAAATGTATTTATTTAAAAATATACTATGCTCAAATTTGATATTAGAAAATATTGATAATTGCTACAAAGTCTCTTTAAAAATATGAACTAAGCATGTTTTGACTTCACACAAAGTTGAAATGTCATGTCACAGATATATAAACAATAATTATATATACTTATATAGCTCCATATGGTCATGTTTAAAACTCTACACACTAAATTGTCGACACTATTTCACAATTAATAATTGATATTGATCAATACTTGGCGAATTTGACATGTCTTAGCGTTCATATGCTTCAATATATTCACTGATTACAAATATAATGCAATACATGGTCAGCGCGCATCGGCAACGAACCCAGACACTTGGGGTTTGGAGCTCAAAACGCCTTTAAAATCCAAATAAAATGCATATTCGTCAATCCCAGCGCATGTACTGATCATAATATATCAAAAAACTTAATATAAGCCGTTTTGAAAAAAATTCATATTTCAACATCTATAATAATAATGTAAACGATCTGATTGATGCTGCTTAACATTATTGTTATCGATTACGTTGATAAAGTAATATAAATTATAATGAAGAAAGTGAGCATTACAATCATTACCTTTTCATTGTTGCGCATTTTACACAGGTCGGCATTATGTATGTAGGCCTACATCAGAGAAGTTTCGGCACATTTGCCATGGCAATAATGGTCAAATTGTCATAAAATAATCACCCCTTGATCGCCCAGAACAAAATGATTATCCAGCACCCGTTTACTATAAAAAATATTTTATATAGTAAACGGGTGCTGGATAGTAAATTAGTAATGTAGTAAACGGGTGCTTGACAGTAATTTTGTTCTTGATGATCAAGGGGTGATTATTTTATGATAATTTGACCACTATTGGCATGGTGAATGTGCCGAACGCCAGTGCTATTTATCATCAGCAGCATGCTGTTTCCAAGGATTTTTTTTCCAAAGAACAAACTAAGCCCTTATAGATAAATATCTTTAAAGATACATGTAAATCTTTTTTTCTCCAGCTTCTATACATGGAGTGCCGTTAATGACTATATCTATATACATGTTAACAAAATTAGTATTGCCCTAGAAGGAATTTTGGTAAGCTTGACTTGTTCTCAGGGGTTTTCAAATAGATTATTAGTTTCATGTCATCTTTATAACATTTGTTCAGATATAAGACAAGTTATCTTCCAAACAAAGATGATACTCTAATCAAATGATATTTTTAATAACAAAAAATCAATGAATTATAATTATGCCTCTTGCAATGATTGCATGTAGCTATCATATGATTGGTTTTCTTTAGACCGGGCGGTCAAGGATAACCTAAGAAAGTGCAAGCACATATTTCCAGTAGGGTCCTTACCTCTGCAGACTGTAGAGATAGCTATGAGATACAAGGAAATCCGGTAACCAGTCCCTAAGTCTTATTGAATAGATTACTTGGTTCTTTTACATGTCCAGTGTATAGCACTGATACATGTGAAGATTACCTGGGTTTCGTACTAGTAAACCTCTAGTTAGGTGGGAAACACTGAAAGTGTTCCTGAAAAATCCCAAGGATGTTACCCAGGATCTTACCCGGAACCTCAAGAGTGACAGTCAGTGGTCTAACCAACTGAGCTATCGCGCCACCTTATACTAGTATTATGCGCTGAATTTTGGTTCTACTGTATGTGGATGGAATCACAACACAATGTTCTGTTTTATACTTTAATGTTACTTTCTAAGTGGAGTACCACAATTAATAGACAAAATATGCACAGGTAATCCTGACGTTAACAAATAGATATTAAAAAACAGTAACAATTATTTCTATTGGAAAGTCACAAAGTTATCGCTCAGCAATCCAAATTCTTACTGTCCAAATTATCTATCTGTTCAATATTTCTAAAATTGGTTCCGTTTTAAACTGGCCAATACGATTTTAACATCTTTGTTTCTTAAATTACAAAATGACCAATCAGGTTTCAATACAAAATAAGGTAAAATAGCAACAAGGAATTTATAATGTTACTTAACAACAATCATCACCTGGATATTTTATCAGTTATAAGGTTTTACAAGTTAATAAGTACAGAGAGCGTTATTGACATTATCATCTAAAAACATAACAAAACTTTTAGCACAATTGATTGGGCAAAGACGAAAAGCAACATTTAATCTTCCAGTTATTAAATTATTAATTTGACATATGTTATTAAAACATTAGACATTTGTAACTAACATATTTGATATTTAACACATTTTTCTGAAAACAAAAAGTCTTTTTAGATAATAATAACAATTTCAAAAGTAAAGAGCATGCATATTCATTCAATGTTTTTTTTTCGTATGAAAAATTTGCTTTGTTTCTGATGCACAACACTAGTAGTAGTAGTATTGTATTTGCTTGTAAATACCAATATTATCATGATAAATAAGTCATATTATTCAAACGTATTTTCATAAAAAAAGTATCCTAAAAATCAAAGTAAATGAAATTATGGCTGTTAAAGAAATACATACATATTGTTAAAAGATATGTAGTTTTTCAATAGTAAATAGCTACGCATTTCTTGAACTTTAATACTAGATTCCTTTTCTTCATCGCATGCAAAGACCTAAAAGTTCTTCTGTAAACTTTGCAGTTTCTACACCGAGTAAGTTATTAACAAGAAGTTAAGAATATAGAAGTTGTTCTAGTATAATTGTCACTTAGATAAATCTTCTGAATAAAGAAATGATGCAACACCAGTAAGTTCCTAACAACCATAATCAGGATTTCTATGACATATCCACCTACAAACTTAACTTACACAGTGTTACAAACTCTAGATATGTGTGTGTTCAAATTCCAAGATATGATAATATTAGTTCTATTTCATGAATTGAATTGGTTTTGTAAAATGATAAGACACGGAAACTGCTACTTTCAACCTTACAATGTTTTTGTCAGAATCACAAACCTAACTAAATCACCATGTGTCTATCTAAGTTAAAACTATTATCGTTAATACTTTTTATAAGGTTTATCAAGCGTTTAGAAATATTCATCTAGTTTTATAATTGTCAGCGTATATGTCTTTGTCCAGAGACCTAGATAGATCTCTGTCTCTGCTTTTTCATACTTAATTTCTCCACTGTGAATTCAAAGTCCTGAACGCAACTTTTTTTTCTGAAAATGTCATCGTTTGACTCTTTTTCAGCTTCTGAAATAAAAAAAAATAAAACATTAAAATATAAATAAACTTTGAAAAAGGTGCGTAAGCTTGCAAACAAGGACAGTAACAAGGAATTGCGAAAGGGTTACACTGCTTTTCACCAACTTTTGTAATAGCGAAACGTATTTGCTCAACTGTCAAGCCATCTTGATCTGAAGAAGACATAGGATATGAGCCTACAGAGTGCAAATCTGTGCCCTTTCAAATTCTTGCCATTTCAGTTCTGTTAAAGGTAGTTTATAAAGAACATTCAAACAATGCTATTATTATATGAAAACTTTTATTTTATGCATAATATTTATTACGAAACTGTAACTTTTAAGAGGTTAAATCAAATATATATAAAAAGAAAAGGCTAATCGATATTCAGTGAAATGTTATTTACAGAACAACAACTGTATCATCGATGGAAAGTTTTGATTATAATCATATATATATATATATATATATATATATATATATATATTATATATATATATATATATATATATATATATATATATTATATATACATATATATATGAAAACGCTTGCTTAAATATTTAAGGCCACATCTACTACCTTGTCTAGTTTCTACATGTCACATTTAGATAAACAAAATAGATCTTCCTTTCGATATATAATCGGGCACATATTGTACTGAAATATCTTAGCACGAGTGCCCAGAATGTAAACCTTTGTCTATGTTAAGATAATCATGTTTCTTTAAAATACGGCACAAGAAGGCCATGGTGGCCCTGAAATCGCTCACCTGAGTGCAGGAACAGTCCATGCCAAGGAACAAGTAATATTGAAAACTTTAAACAAAAAACACATATGAAATCTAAATCGTAAACTGATATAACAAAGTTCATATTTGTATCTGAAATTATATGGCTGATATTGCTAAGGGAAAAGTTGCAAAAAGTTGCGTGCATATAAGGAAATTCAACGACCCCACGGGGCGGGCCAATTTTGACCTCAGAGCTTTTTTGTTAAAACAAACTAAGTAGACACTAACTAGGAGATCTTTCATGCTCAATATCTTTGCTCTAGCTCTTTGGTGTTTTTAAAAGGAATCTTTATAAGTTTATACAATATACATATAAAGAAAATCAATCAACCCCTTTGGCGGATCCAATTTTGAACCACGGTATTTTATTTTAACAAACTTGGTAGACACCAATTAGCGGATTTTTCTTGCTTAATATCTAAGCCCTAGCTTTTTGGATTTTTCCAAAAATACACTTTTTAGTTTTCTTTCTACATGTATATACATATAAGGAAAACCAATGAAAACCATAGACTCAGAAAATGTTTCATGGCAATGCTTAATATCTAAGCTCTAGCTATTTGGGGTTTTTTAAAGACGATTTTTATTTTTTTCCTTCGTTTGCCATTGAAACCACAGCTCTACATGGAATTAAATTCTTTAAACATTTTCAAAAGTGACGACCAAAAAAC